TAAGAGGGATGTTAGGGTTTAGGGTTTAGGGTTTAGGGTTTAGGGGGATTACAGCAACCCCTATTTCCATTCCTATGAAGGTCTGCTAGTTTTAGGGGGAACATCCCAACTTGAACCCCCTAAACCCTGAACCCCCTGTGAACCAACTTTCCACTCCGGTCCTTTTCGCTTGGTCTCTTTGAGCTCGCTGCCTTCAAAGAGGTAGCGCTGAATCTGCGGCCACCTCCAAGAGTTACGGTTTTAGGTGTCAACCTCCTAACGACTAACCCCTAAACCCTAAACCCTAAACCCCCCCCAACTACCCTGACTGTTGGTTTATCAGATCCCCGTGATCCCAGGTCTCAAGTTAGGTCTGGGAATCCGCGGAGCTCTTCTTCTTCGGAGGGCGGCGCTAAGAGTGGTTAAAGGAGCCTTCTCGGCAGGTACTTGGGGAAGAACAGAGGGTAGGTTCCGATAACCCCTTAACCATAAACAGGGCTTCTACCATTTTAGGGCGGGGGTTTTAGGGGATCAGGCTTCCCTGTGGTACGGAGGTTGGGGGGTTTAGGGACTTTCATCTTCTTAGGCTTGGATTTCTGATCTCGGGTTGAAGGCTTAGGGGCTTGAGGAATTTCGTCAGTTCAGGGCCTTATGCTGGGCGGACCTAAATACGGTTTAGGGTGGCTTAAGGTGGTTTTGGGCTTAGGGTGGTTTAGGGTTGCTTGGTAGCCCAGCAACCATTTTTAACAAGGGCACCCTTTCTTGGGTTGGTTACTTTCTACGGGAAGCCACAACCAAAGAAAAGTGTAAGGGTACCACTGGGGTCCCCCTGGGCAAACCCTAAACCCTAAACCCTAAACCCTAAACCCTAAACCCTAAACCCTAAACCCTAAACCCTAAACCAAGGTTTAGGGGAAGCAACCAGATTAGTAGTGTCGGAGCAGGTCCCGCAAAGGGCCCATATCCCCATATATGGTGCGGCGTCGCTGCCCCCCCCAGCCCCCCCCACCCCATGGTACCCCCCCCCATGGCCCCCCCCCCCCCCCAAATTCTTTCCCCGCCCCGCCCCCCTGTGGTTTGGGCCCCCCTGTGGGGTGGCGTGGTTGGGGTTTGGGTTTGTTTAGGGTTGAGGGTTTAGGGTTTAGGGTTTTAGGGTTTTAGGGTTTTAGGGTTTAGGGTTTAGGGTTTAGGGTTTAGGGCTTAGGGTTTACGGTTTAGGGTCCCCGCCCCGCCCCCCTGTGGTTTGGGCCCCCCTGTGGGGTGCTGTGGTTGGGGTTTGGGTTGAGGGTTTAGGGTTTAGGATTTAGGGTTTAGGGGTTTACGGGTTTAGGGGTTTAGGGGTTTTGGGGTTTTGGGTTTTGGGTTTGGGGTTTAGGGTTTAGAGTTTAGGGTTTGGGTTTAGGGTTTAGGGGGGGTGGGGGGGGGGTTGGGGGGAGGGGGGGGGGGGATACCATGGGGGGGGGGGGGGGGGGGGGGGGTGGGGGGGGTACCGACACGGGACACGGAACCATATATTAGGTTGGGCCCCATTTTAACCATCTGAACAAATTCGTATACATAGTCCCATTAAAGCCACTAAAGGACGAAGAAAAACAACTGTTTAGTAGATACCTAGATGCAAAGTTGCCTGGGGGCTTAGCAAAAATCGCCCCATCCCAAGTGGAACATGACCATGCGACAGACTGGTGCCGGTCACTACAAAGCCCTGAACCTTAAACCCTAAACGCGAAACCCCCTACCAGGACCATTCGAAGAAAACCCAAAAGATCTGGGATGGCGTGCTGGGGATACAGGCCCAAGGGTTTTCTAAGTGCCCGACTCAAGCCACACCCACGCGTGTATGTACTTGAGCTTGCGCTTGCCATCCTGCGCGCGGTTCAAGGGGTCGGCAAGCGAACTCTAAAGCCTCATCCTCACATCCAACAGTCCTGCAGCTAGGAGGGTTATGTGCGTGTTCATGAAAATGCGTATGTTATCTATACATACTCACACATGCAGACATGCATACATACATGCATACATGCAGACATGCAGACATGCATACATAAATGCATACATGCATGCATGCATACATGCATGCATACATACATACGTACATACGTACATACACATTTGTTCTGAAACATATGCATGTACATGTGTACGTATATACATATATATATATATATATTTGGTCACCCCCCCCCAATGGACCCACCGCGGGCCTTGATCTTTGCAAAAGTACCGCAAATACCGATAAAACCTATGCTGTCTGGTGATTTTCCGGTGACCGGATTTTTGACTGTATTACTTAATTCACCCTCTCACACACGCACGGAGGGTTTTTCTTTCTGTTGGCTTTTGTTTATAATTTAAGATCTAGGCATTTAAACCTAAGCCTGCAAAAAAAAACCTTAACCTTTAAACCCTGTAGGGTTAAGGTTTAAAGGTTAAGGGTTTAAGATTTAGGCATTTGAACCTATGCCGGTAATTAAAGCTAAGCCCTTAACCTTTAAATTCTATCGGGTTGAGATTTTTACAGGTTTAGGGTTTAAGATGTAGGCATTTAAACCTAAGCCTGCAACTAATTTTAAACCCTTAACCTTTAAACCCTGTAGGGTTAAAGTTTAGAGGCTTAGGGTTTAATATTTAGCCATTTAAACCTGTAGCCAAGCCCTTAACCTTTAAACCCTATAGGGTTAAGATTTTTAAAGGTTTAGGATATAAGATGTAGGCATTTAAACCTAATTAAGCCTGCAACTAATTTTAAACCCTTAACCTTTAAACCCTGTTGGGCTAAGGTTTAAAGGTTTCGGGCTTAAGATTTAGGCATTTAAACCTATTCCGGCAATTTACGCTAAGCCTCTAACCTTTAAACCCTATAGGGTTAAGATATTTAAAGGTTTAGGGTTTAAGTTTAAGGTTTAGGTATTTAGACCTATGCCGGCAGTTCATATTGAACCCTTAACCTTAAACCCCATAGGGATGAGATTTAAAGGTTTAGGATTCTTTACTTAGACATTTAAATCCAAGCTGACGATTCAACCTAAACCCTTAACCTTTAAACCCTATAGGGTGAAGGTTTAAAGTTTTAGGGTTTAAGATTCAGACATTTAAACCTAAGACAGCGATTAACACTAAGCCCTTAACCTTTAAACCCTATAGGGTTAAGGTTTAAAGGTTTGGGGTTTAAGATTCAGGCATTTAAAGCTAAGTATGTAATCAATTTGTCACCCTTAACACCTCTAAACTCTGTAGTGTGAAGGTTTAAAGGCTTAGGGTTTAAAAAAACCTAAGCCCCCTAAGCCCATAGAGTTTAAACCTTAAGGGTTTAAGGTTTACGCATCTATTCCTTAACCCTAAACCCTCTAGGGTCAGGACCCTAAAGCCCTCGGCAATCAAGCCTAAACCCTTGACCTTCAAACCCCATAGGATGAAGGTTTAAAGGTTTGGGGTTTAAGACTTAGGCATTTAAACCTAGAGGGCATTTAAGCCTTAATCCTAAACCCTTTAGGGTCAGAACCTTAGCACCCTATAGGGGTCTAGCACGTTCAAAGGCTTGAACCCTACAGGCGCTGAAGGTATACATGTCCTATCGGTTTTTAAACCATTACACCCTGTAAGAAGGTTTAGGGTCTTTTCGGGGTCTATCTCTAAATTTCTCACGGGGTTAACCCTGCAGGGTTTAAAGTTAAAGGTTTAGGGTTAAAGGTTAAGGCAATACCTATAGGATTAGAACCTTATAACCCTGTAGTGCATGAGGCTTAAACCCCTAAAACTTAACCATCTTTTTCTCGAGAAAACCAAAAAAACCAAAAAAACCAAAAAAACCATCTTTTCCAAAACTATGGGGCTGGGGCCTCCAAAAGATGGTTTTTTTGGTTTTCTCGAGAAAAAGATGGTTTTTTTGGTTCGAAACCATCTTTTTCTCGAGAAAAAGATGGTTTTTGAGCAGCCGCTCTTCGAAAAACCATCTTTTTCTCGAGAAAAAGATGGTTTTTAGAGATCTTACCCTGGAAAAACCATCTTTTTCTCGAGAAAAAGATGGTTTCCGGAGGTCTTGTCCTGGTAAAACCATCTTTTTCTCGAGAAAAAGATGGTTTTTGGAGGTCTTCTCCTGGTAAAACCATCTTTTTCTCGAGAAAAAGATGGTTTTTCGAAGGATGGTTGCTCAAAACAATCTTTTTCTCGAGAAAAAGATGGTTTCGAACCAAAAAACCATCTTTTTCTCGAGAAAACCAAAAAAAACCAAAAAAACCAAAAAAACCATCTTTTCCAAAACTATGGGGCTGGGGCCTCCAAAAGATGGTTTTTTTGGTTTTCTCGAGAAAAAGATGGTTTTTTTGGTTCGAAACCATCTTTTTCTCGAGAAAAAGATGGTTTTTGAGCAGCCGCTCTTCGAAAAACCATCTTTTTCTCGAGAAAAAGATGGTTTTTGGAGATCTTGTCCTGGAAAAACCATCTTTTTCTCGAGAAAAAGATGGTTTTTGGAGGTCTTGTCCTGGTAAAACCATCTTTTTCTCGAGAAAAAGATGGTTTTTGGAGGTCTTGTCCTGGTAAAACCATCTTTTTCTCGAGAAAAAGATGGTTTTTCGAAGAGCGGCTGCTCAAAAACCATCTTTTTCTCGAGAAAAAGATGGTTTCGAACCAAAAAAACCATCTTTTTCTCGAGAAAACCAAAAAAACCATCTTTTGGAGGCCCCAGCCCCATAGTTTTGGAAAAGATGGTTTTTTTGGTTTTTTTGGTTTTTTGGATTTTTTTGGTTTGTTGGTTTTTGTTAGTTTCTTGTTTTGTTGTTTTTTGCCTTGATCTGGCTAGGACTCGGCTGCCATCCGCGGTGGGTCCATTGGGGGGGGGTGAGCATATATTTCTTTTAGAATATCAATAGAATAATAGGTCTCAAAAGACATTTTTTTATGATGCATATGAAGCAACATGTACTACAAAACCACAGCATTCAAACTCTACAATGCATTCCCGAAAGAGCCATGGCTCTATGGGGCGGTCTACTCTGGCGCAGCTGGCGAGTCTGACTCAAACCCTAAAACCTCAACCGGCTGGAACTTCTCCGAACCCTAAACCCTAAACCCTAAACCCTAAAGCCTAAACCCTAAACCCTAAACCCACCCAATCCCCATATGCCCTTTCGTTTGCACAAGGCAGCGTGCTGCAGGGCCTTGTCCGGATGCTCGAACTCCAGCGTATTCAGATCTGTTAAGGGCAGTCCCGTGCAGATGATGTCCACCGTGTAGAGGTGGTACATGGTCAGCAGTCCTCTATCCGCCGCGGCTTAAAAGCGGGCGGGTAGGTGGTGGGGGGCGGGGGAAGGGGCACAAGTGATTAGGGTCTGGAATGTTTCTTGGAGGTTCATGGGTACTTATAACCCCTATTGTAATTGTACTAGGGAGCCAAGTCCCCCAAGTGGGTTTTAAGTACAGTTATAATTCGGGTTATAATGAACCTCCAAGTAGTGCTGGTAAGGTAAAGGAAGCCGCAAGCGTGTCCGGACGCGGCTCAGCCCAGTGGGGAAGCATTGTTTTCATTGCTTCTGACGGAACAGCTATCCCTAGCTTCGCTCTTGCCCAAAGGATCCACGTGCCGAACTAGGGAATACTTGGGCCTTAAACCCTAAAACCGTATAATCTTAAAACCCCTAAACCCAAAAAACCCTGAAACCTAAAAACCCCCAAAAAGCAAACACGCCAAAACCCTGAAACCCTAAACTCTAAACCCTAATCCCTCGTCGATGGAGCCCAGAGAGTTTTCGAGGCGAACCTTTCCTGGATAGCTCTTGGATTTCTCTAGCTCAATGATGTGGTCCACGAAGTGCTCGTTGACCACCTGACCAACATCATGTAGGGTTTAGGGTTTAGGGTTTAGGGTTTAGGGTTTAGGGTTTAGGGTTTAGGGTTTAGGCGGGTTTAGGGTTTCGGGTTTAGGGCTCAGGGCCTAGGACCCAAACAAGCCGCCACTCACAGAAGGAGCTCCAGGAAGGGGGATACAAGGCATTCCTTGCACTGCGGAGTTGGCTTGGTTATCTCCACATACTCCACATGGGGCTTTCCGACATTCGGATTTTGTAAGGGAATCCGGGGTCTATACTAGGGGTCGCTTATTTTCGGAAACCACCCGCCTACAGAACTGGTAAGGCTCAGCTCCCTGTCGAATTCAAGAAGCAGCTTGCACGCGTAGAAACAATGGTTTGGGGGGGTTGAGGGGAAAGCGCGAGCCATTCTCCCAGAAGTTGCGTTGCGGTGTTGGATCGATTCCCCCCCCCTCCCCGCGAACTGAACTTGCAAGGAGTTTCTTTCGGCAATTCAGGCCGCCTGTGTTGGCTACACCTCTATAAGCCCTAGGAAGCTGAAGAAGTCTTATACAAGACAGCCTTATAAGGTTACAAAGCCTAGAAGTCTTCAGCCCCGAAACCCTAAAGCCCTTTCATAGACACACCTCAGAAACATCATCCTTACGCTCTAAAGCCTTGCAAACCCGCCCCCCTAGACCTCTAGTGGGCATGTGTAGGTTGGGTCGAACTCCGGCGCGGGTCTTCCCAAGCCGATCTTCATGGTCCTGAGCGCTTGTGAGGTGCAGGGGGGTTGGTGGAAGGTTTTTTTCAGGGCTTGTGTGAGGTCTATAGGCCTTCACCCTCAGCCCCCTAAACCCTAAACCCTAAACCCTAAACCCTAAACCCTAAACCCTAAACCGCAAGGCTTGGCAAGTCCGAGTGCTGCGGGCCAAGTTGCGATTCCACTACCCGTTGCATCTCTTCCTCGGTGACGGCACGCCGGCACACCTCGGCCGTGCTAGGAGGGTTTAGGGTTTAGGGTTTAGGGTCTAGGGTCTAGGGGTTGGGCAGTGGGTTTGGCAGTAGACTATACTCCTCTATAACTAACGCATATAGGAACCACATTTGCAGCCTTCAAGTAGGTTTAAGACCCTCAACCCTATACCTCAAAGGGCTGGACCCGAAGCTCTGTCATCAGCTCTTACCCCCCCCCCCTCCCCAAAGGACCTAAACCCTAAACCCTAAACCCTAAACCCTAAACCCTAAACCCTAAATTCCTCTAAACCCTACAAAGCCTAAATCCTAAACCCTAAAGCCCAAATCCTCCACATCCCTGAAAGCTAAACCCTAACCTCTACCCAGCCATGGGGGAGCTCAGCGTTTTCGACGGATGTGGCGACTCGCTGAGTTCCCCAATGGCTGGGCAGAGGTCAGGGTTCAGCTCTCGGGGCTGTTTAGGGTCTAGGGTTTTGGGAATTAGGGTTTAGGGATTGTTTCCTTAGTTAAGGGGCATTGGGCTCTCTGGGTGTGCCAGGGACCATGCAGCTTTTGAAACCTTGCGAGCGCCCGCGGGAAGGCTTCGCGAGACCTGTTCTTTGAGGCCGCGGGTGAGTTGTTCGCCCACTAACCATATCATGATTGGTGAAAACTCACCCCAATATTAAGCCCTAAACGTTAAAGTTTTCTTTGGTTAGTTTTAGAGAGGAACCCAGAATCCCAGAAAAAGGGTACACAAAGAGCACAACTGGGCTTCCTAGAGTAATAATCGAGCAAGCGATCTAAGCAGCAGTGCAGACATCTGGGCCTTTGCCAGTGACGGAATCCTTTGGAAGATTTGCCCTGCTCAATGCCGGATTACCTTTGTACATCCTTCACACCACTATGAAGGCGATGGAAGTCCCAATATCGGGACAATTTGGGACATGTATCGTAGACCCGGCGCGAGGTGTGGATTCTCACTACTGCACTTTGCAAGCCGACGGACCCCCTGCGCACCTCTGCACATGCGCATGACCCCCTTTTGGAGGTTCCTTAAAGGGGGTTCTGTATCATTTGGGGTTTTAACGGGGTACCCCTACTTCGGGAAATGCCCACTGATGATTCTTCAAAGCCCTGAGTAAGAAGCGAAGTCGGGCGTTCCCCAGGCCACCAGTGACTGGCCAGGCAGAACAGCCAGGAAACCGCTGCGCACTGCATGGATCTGGCGCACCTCTCGCAGCTGGTCCTGGACATCCCTGCTGTCACCACCAGTGTGGCTGTCACCCCAGGTCACAACAGAGCCATCATGTACAAGGGCTGCAAAGGCCGAGCCAGAGGCATGCAACTGCCGCACGTTCTTGAGCTGCTTCCGGACGCGTGAGCTGTCACCGCCGGCTTTGGAGCAACCCCATGTCACAACAGATCCATCGCCTCGTAAGGCAGCGAAGGCGTTTGCGGAACAGGTCCCCACCACTTGCTGCACATCCTTCAGGAGCCTCTGCACCCCCTTGCGGGAGCGGTTGCCAAGGTCGTCGCCCCATGACACGACGGTGCCATCCTCAAGCAATGCCGCGAACGCTGCCTGGCAAGCGTAGATCTCTTTCACACCCTGTAGCTTGGCCTTGACTGCGCTGGAATCACCACCTGCAGTGCGCCACCCCCAGGTCACCACAGACCCGTCCCCCCGCAACGCAGCAAACGCAGCAGAGTTGGCGACCACCTGGCGCACATCCCTCAGCTGGGCCTGGACGTCACTTCCTGCGCAATCGTCGAGCGTGCCCCAGTTCAGCACACATCCATCGCCAGTCAACGCTGCAAAGGCAAAGCCGGTGCTTACGATCTGCTGCACGTCCCTGAGCAGCCCTTGCACAGACGAGCTGTCACCGCCCGTTTGGCTTACGCCCCAAGTCACAACAGAGCCATCGCCCATCAAGGCAGCGAAGGAAAACGCAGAAGCAAAAAGCTCCCGAACGTCCGAAAGCTTGGGAGCAGGCATGGTCTCAAGGCCCAGCGGCCCCCACATCTCCACGGATCCATCCTCCAAGACGGCCGCCAGCGCAGCGCTGGCCGCGGCCACCTGCCTCACATTCCTGAGCCGATCTCTTACCGCCCAGCTATCTCCGCCATTGGCGGTATCACCCCAGGTCACGACGGATCCGTCCCCCATGATGCAGGCCCAGCAGTAAGAACCCTCCACGAGTTGCAGGGGCCTGGTCTGGAGAGTTAGCACATCACCGTCACACAGCTTCACCTCGCGTACAGTCTCTACAGAAAACTCAGAGAGGTCTTCTCCAGAGCTGTTCCATAACTTGCCTCTGAGTCCCAGCTCATCCTGGGCCCTTTTCTGGAGCTCATGGACGGAGGTCTCAGGGCCCACTTCCACGGAGGTCCTTCTCCCACTCAGAAGTGCCACTTCAACACATATGGCCATTTGGGGGGGTTCCGAAAATTCAGGGGAATTTTGGGCGGAGGTATGTTCAGAATGAAGGTTCTACTGGTTTTTGGGGGATATATTCGGGAACCCCTATTCGGGGACATGCCCATATGGCCATTTCAGAATGCGGCTTGGGCGGAGCTCGCTGCTGTCACATCTCGGACTGAAAGACATGGTTTCCAAGCAAGGCTGCAGTTCGCGTCACCTACACATGTCGAAGACTCCACCCCCTAAACCCTAAACCCTAAACCCTAAACCCTAAACCCTAAACCCTAAACCCTAAACCCTAAACCCTAAACCCTAAACCCTAAACCCTAAACCGAATTTCCTTACCATCTCCCCAAAAGAGTCCATGCATCGGCCACATAAACGCTGGCCAAGGAGCCTCATGGAGGTTTGCCTCTAAAGGCATCTCGTCAGTTGTCAGCTTCTCCTGATGAGTAGCCCGGTAACCAGATTATAATAAGCGTATCAGGTACCCCGGGCCCCTGTTTTTGGCTAGTTACCTTTACAAGGGAACCCAGAACCAACGAAATTGGTAAAGGGTACCACTGCGCTCCCAAGTCTCTGATAGAAGCCCATTCCGCGTCCGCGTGCGACCATCCCCTGGGATGACGAGGCATGCTGAAGGAAGGAGTTGCATTTGACAAGGACAGACTTACAAAGCTAAGTGAGGAGGACAAGGACAAAAACAACCACGATTTGTATATATATATATACATATATATATGTTTTCTACATTGATTTTTGTATGTATAGCAGCCATGATGACAATCGCCCAGCAAATCCTACATCGAGTCTACTTGCTGCAGTCTGGCAGCAGCAGCAGCACTAGCAGCAGAAGACGCCGGCTTCTTTGCTAGAATTGCTGTGTACTTTAACATGAACTCGGGAGCCTCACGACATTTGAATCAGAGACGGGGAGCCGTACTGTTGCCAGGTGTTGAACAGGAAAATCCCTCGTTCATACCTGTCGGGGGAGGTCACCTGTCCACGGCGCGCGAGACGAGAGCATGACTTGGTCAAAGGTGCCAGATGTATCGCATACTGCAAATGCAAACAAACCTGATAGGATCTTCACAGAAGAAGATATACATATTGATTTCAATTGATTTCAAGGGCTTGCTCGGCACGTCCGAGAACATCCGGTACATACCGTTGGGCTCTAGGGAGTTCCGCCTGAACATGAGCTTAGGCTTCAGAACTTCATGAGCTTAGGCTTAGGAGTGGTGTAGGGTTTAGGGTTTAATTAGGGTTTAATGAGGGTTTAGGGTTTAGGACTGAGTGTTTAGGGTCCCTCTCCTTAGGGCAAATTGTTGACCCAACATGCAGAGGACTTTCATCCTCGTCATCCGAGCTGAGGATCGCACCCGGCAGGTGAACCCCAAACCCAGCAAACCCTAAATCCTATAGATCCTAAACGCGAACACCCTAAATACAAACCCTACACACCAGGAAGTCTAAGGGCTTATAGAGATTGTTCTGAAGGTGTGGTGGCTCTTCGCTGCACCTCTAGCAGAGTTGAAGGTCAGGTATGTCGGAGGCTTCAGGGTGAAAGGCTCAAAGCTCAGCGTTTAGGGTTTAGGGGTTAGCGTTTAGGGTATGGGGTATAGGGCTGACCTTTGAGCCCTTTGAAAGAGATATCCTAGATAGGACCCTGGTAAGCCCAACAAGGGCAAATAACTCATGTCCCAAGGGCCTACTTAGGAAGCGATGGTGTGTGAGTGCTTCGTGGTTTGGGCTTAGCTGAGGGTTGAGTGCCTGAGCGTTCAGACCCCAAGCTCCAGGGCTAATGCTTGATTAGGCGTTGTACGCTTTACACGGCGTACTTATCAGCCCCTTAAGTGCCCCAATATATGGTTATAAGTACAGATAAAAGTACCCTAAACCCTAAACCCTAGACCCTAAACCCTAAACTCTCCCGGCCTTTGCACGCAGAACGTGCGTAGTCCGAACTGGAATCAGGGTGCCGTCTGCGGCTCGCCATAGCTCCAGAGCAGCTTCGTTGAGCTTGATCTCCTGGGGCGACGCTGGGATTTAGGGTTTAGGGTTTAGGGTTTAAGGTTTAAGGTTTAGGGTTCAGGGTTTAGGGCTTCAGGGTCCAGAAAGAGAAACTTTAAACCCTGAATCCCAAATCGACAACTACCCCAAAGTCATGAACACCATGCACTCCAACATCTCAGCTCTATGGGAGGGTTTAGGGTTTAGGGTTCGCACTTTCGGAGGCTTTCGGGCTCGCAAAAATTCTCCCAAGGAGGCCTTCCAGAACTTGCTGACGCCCTTGGTGTTGTCCTTGCCCCAGTCCGTCGTATCCAAACCTGTCGATTCAAGAGTGCAAGAATCTAGGGTTTTCCGGAGTCTATATATAATATAGGCTTACATGCCGAGTTTCTCAGGATTCAGGTGGATCCATGTATATATATATATATACAGCCATTCAAGAAAACATAGTTCCTAAGGGGGCGTATAGGCCCAGGCATCCGCGCCTTTGTCCAGGAGCCAGGCAGCCAGGGACTCTGAGTCTGGCACATCCTTGCTGGGGTTTGGGGTTTGGGGTTTAGGGTTTAGGGTTTAGGGGTTAAGGTTTTTTTTGTAGGGGGGTTTGAGATCTCATTAAGGGTTTTATGGGTTGAGGGGGTTTGGGAGGCTTGGGTTTAGTCTATGTCAGGTTTCAGTAGTTTACGGGTTCGCCTGGACTGCCAAGGTACCCATCATGGCCCGTGCCGTAGACCCTTTGCATGGGGGTAACAAGCCATTGTTCTGGTTGCGGTAATATGGGGCTTAATCATGAGAATAATGAATAGGGTTTTAGGGGGCTACTATACTATAAATATTTATTGGGCCAAAATAAGGGAGTGCTATTGGTATAACTATTTCCTACCCCTATATTACTTAATCGGGTCACTACGGTATCCTCGAAGGTCTGCCTGGAAAGGCTAGGGATCGGCTAGGAGGATAGCCTAGGCACTTCTCATCTGATGCCAAGCCAATGTTTACGAGGGAGTTCAAACCCTAAACCCTGAACCCTAAACCCTAAAGCCTGAACTTCAGGGTGTTTGGGGTTTACCAAGGATTCGTCAAACTCACGAGGGGCAAGTTTCGGGGGCCTGGCTCATGGGAAGATGCTGACATCACATCCCAAGGTAGGACTCTACTGTGCAAACCGCAGGCAATCAAAGAATCCAGTCAGACAGCGCGGACGCCTCTTGCATCGTCGGGTATACATTATCCAAGACTGGACATCCCTAAACCCTAAACCCTAAACCCTAAACCCTAAACCCTAAACCTAAACCCAAAGTACCCACGCGTAAGACCCTTCTCTCTGAGAATGCAATATGATCGTACCCTGCCGAGGGTCGCTCAGCGAGGCGCTATTGATAAGTTCCCCGTCCGTCAACGGTGCGGGGAGGTTCGACGCGGCCACCATCGCGGAAGTCACGAATGGGGGCCCGGGGTGAAAAAAGATGAGGCTTCCTGATGTCGCCCTGGTACGGGGGTCTAGATGTGCGCTGACTGAAACTGGGTACTGCGTTGGTGGGACTATGCTTGGGGTGTCGGGGTCAAGGTTGGGTGTGTAGTTCTACAGTCTACAGACTGCCAAAAAAAACCATCTCTGGCATGTGCAAGTGAGTCGCCTTAAACGATGCCCAGGATCCCTCTCCCAATGCACTGCAACCGACTGCCCACCCGAAACCCTAAACCCCTTAGATGCTGGACTGGCTGCACAACGGTCAGAAGGTCAAAGCCCTCTGAAATCGCACGTGCTGCTGAGCCAGTTCCCGAGCAGTGTTGCGGCTCCAGCTTATACTAGTGCTTTAAACCCTGAGAAATGGGATCGCTAAACCCTTACAACCACGTAAAGTATTTGGCCTATATGTATATATATATATAGAGAGAGAGAGAGAGAATGTAAAAATCGATACCCATCTTTTCCTCATAAGGCGCCATAGGGCCATCATTAAGGGGCACCGGGGTGCAGGGAAACCAACCCTACATTAGACGCTACACCCTAAACCCTGCACTATCGGGGCCTTCATGCTTGGGGGTTGTAAGAGTTAATATAGGGACCATAAGGGAATAGTCAGCAACTCTTCCGACCCTTCCAACCCCTATATTATGGGTTGGGCTTTGGCCGCGATTGCGGCTTGCTCCCGTGGGGGCCTCGAGCCTTCCGTGAGTGCTACATAGGCTATCTTCCTCTGTAAAGATAAGGATTGAATATTGAGGGTTTTGGGACCCGAAAATCTTACATAGTGGGTCCGCTCCGAGGCGACCTCTTCATTAGCGTTCTCGAGTAATTATGTAGGCGCAAGACTTGCACTATGAGGATCAGTGATGCAAGGAGCTGCCCAATTCGTAGACTCATGTCCTGCAAATGTGTGTGTTTCGAAAAGGGCGGGTGAGTGATGCGGCATTCCTTGCACACTCCAGATCCGCAACGTAGTTGAACACCTAAGCCCTAAAACCACAACGTAACGTCCCTCTTGAACTTCACTGGCGGGCATGGAGGAACTTGCATCGGGGCTTTTGTGTTCTAGGGTTTTGGGGTGCACGAAATCTCGCTAATTAGCTTGAAATGTGCACTCGTCCCAAGGTCAACTTCCCACCACGATGCTGCTTTTCCAGTTGCCGCGGCGGATCGGCAGCAGGCATATGAACACGTGTGATGTGTGTTGAGTTTCTTCTCATGTGGAGACACACTCTTTCATTATGTGGGGCTAGTGCATGTTTTGCAGGTATGAGGCTTAGATGTGTCGAACACTTCAACCAATCAAAATGTTCTAACATAGTACGGGCCGGGTGTCAGGTAGGCTGTGCTGTGGAGGGTGCTGTACCCATGCGCCAAGGGTCGTGTAATCGGTGACTCAGAACTGTACGTAGGAAGGCTGCTCATTGCCGCTCGCCTCGCATCAGGAACAAGGCTTTGGCAGCCGTAAGCCGTACCCACGAGCTAAAGCCTTGACCCTCTAAACTCTAAATCCTACACAATACACCCTGAATCCTCAAAACAAAATCCTGAACCAGGTAACCACTCCCCTACTGTAGAAGTAGGGACCTTAGGTATCCTGACTGATCAATTCGGAGTGTTCTGTTGAGTTAATGGACAATGTTGGAAGAAGTTTTAATTATTAGGGTTCAGGGTTTAGGGTTTAGAGCCACGGGCAGAATGTCTCCCAGAATGGGCACCTAAATTTACAACAACTGCTTCGCCAATAAAGACCCTAAATGCCCTAAGCCCTTTAGGGCTCAAGCTTGTGGGCGCAAGGCCTGAGGCTTGCCGGATTCGTACAGTAGGCACAATACAAGAGTACGGGTTAAAGGACGTCGCGTTATACTACTACCCCATCCGTACACCCCACATACACACACTCTTTCGCCAAAAAAAGGAAGCCTGGATACGCGCGCCAAAATCCGAATGAGAGACCCTGTTTTCATGCAGGCATTCGATAATGATCTTTCTTCGCAGTTTCGGGATTCTATCAAATTGAGGATGACCCCCAAAACCCAAAACCCAAAACCCAAAACCCTAAACCCTAAACCCTAAACCCTGAACCCTAAACCCTAAGCAACTTCTTCCGAGATGCCGTTTGCTCCTCTGATTGGTAGTTGTACATCGTGGGGAGAAGTTTCCGGCCTTGGGAGGCACGGAGACTCCCAACGTCCCTTAATGAGGGCTGGGGGTTCAGGGTATAGGATTCAGGGTTTAGGGCATAGGCATAGGGTTTAGGGTTTAGGATCCTAGAAGGGGCTTTTCCCAAGAGAGGGGTGCTGCTGAGAAACCCCCCCAGACAGAGTCTGATCCTCGTTATCAGGAACCCCCACCCCTCCCCCCAGAAGCCTAACATGATTTGCGGAATGCTCCTTACCCTAGCAAAAAAGGCATCTTCTGTAGTCTCTGGGCAAAGGTTTACGTTTGGGGTTTAGGGCTGTGGGGCTTAGGGTTTGGGGCTGTGCACCCGATCGGTCTGTAGGCTTACGGTTCAGGGTTAGTGGTTTTAGGCTTAAGGTGCAGCCCTTTTGGGCTTCAGGGTTTCTAGCTAGCAGCGAGCGTTGTCAGGGGAAAGGGGCAGCCATCTCTGGAATTACGACTGAGTGGTTGTGGAAGGGTTTCAGGGCACAGCCGCTTTGGGCGGGAGATGGGCCTTCTTCGGAGTACATCAGCACGAGCTGCTCAGAGCCGCAAGAGATGCTGCGAGCAGCAGATTTACAAGTCTGTGCCAAAGTATTTCTGCGAAGGGGCGGATTTCGAGTTTAGGGCTAAACCTGGCTTGCATATAAGTGCTTCTACGTCCTGATTCCGTAGTTCTGCCTCAGCCACGCACTCCACACCCTAAGCCTAAAACCTCGAAACCCCAAACCCTCTAAACCCCGGAACCCTAAAACCTACAAACCCAAAAGCCAACCATAAAAGCCACACAAGCCCAAATCCGACAAAGCTTTGATGCTCCAGATCCCAACGGGCTCCGAGAATTGCAAGCGTAAACTCCGTTTAGGGCTTGGGGCTCAGAGCTTCGAGATTAGGGACCAAAACCCCAAACCCAACTCCTAACCAAAGCCTCGTGTTAGGGTGCTGGCCAAGGCGGCCCATCATTGCATTCTCGGAGGTTGGCGGCCGATGGGGTCCCTGGCCAACGTGTCAGGTGCCAGGTAAGACGTTTAGGCTCGTAAGGTTTAGGGTGCAGGGTCTTGGGGTTTAGGCAGAGAAGGAGTTCCAACAGAGTTAAGTGACGATGAACTGCTTTGGCTGAGTTCGCTGTCAACTCCCCTTTCTGAGAGCGGCTTCAACGTCCCAAGCTGCATGTGGCACATCTGCCAACAAGCCAGCAATAGTAGGGGACTTCGAGGTTGTTCAAAATAAAAGTCCTTCTTTTTCGGAAGAGGGCGGGGTGGGTGGGGGGGGGCCCTAAACCCTAAACCCAAAAGGGGAGGATCTGACCGTATAAATCCTGAACCCTAAAGCCGCATGAGGCAACACGGATGTAGACCGGCCCATGCAGAATCTAAGGTTGGAGCCATCGGCCCTTAGTATGGTCCCTTACCCTTCTTTATAGGGATCCGAAGTATGGGCCCGTCTCATGCGTAGTTTATAAGGGCCCATACTTGGAACCCTAAACAGAAAAAATGTCAGGAGTGCCGCCAGCCCAAACCACATCAGCAGTTGCAGTAAGCCTTGCGCCGGCGGCGGGTCTAAGGGTTTAGGGTTCAGAGTTTAGGGCTTAAGGGAGTTTAGGGCTTGGGGTTTGGGGGGCAAAATTGCAGTGCTTGACAGCATCCTGGCCGCCAGCCCCCGTCCCCCGAAGCCTCGAAACCCTAAACCCCAAACCCTATAGGGTTTGTAAACCCTAAACCCTAAACCCTGAGCCCTAAACCCTATAAACCCTTCACCCTGAACCCAAAAAACCCTGAAACCTGAACCCTTCACCCTACACCCTGAAACCTAAACCCTAAACCCTAAACCCTTCACCCTGAACCCAAAAAACCCTGAAACCTAAACCCTAAACCCTGAACCCTAAAGGGTTCACCAGCTTGAGGCGGTGACCGTTCAGCAGAACAATCGCCAGAATGATCAGCAAAGGTGTCACGACCAACGCCAGGACGAAGTGAGAGTTCCTCAGCGAAGGTTTGTTGAGGGTTTTAGGGTGCTTAGGGTTTAGGGTTTTAGAGGGTTTAGGGTTCTAGGGGGTTTTAGGGTGCTTAAGGTTTAGGGTTTAGGGTTTTAGGGGGTTTAGGGTTTTAGGGTTTGAGGGTTTTAGGGGGTTTAAGCGTAAGTTTTTTGGGTGAGCTCCTCAGCGGGTTTTAGGGTTTGAGGGTTTTAGGGTGTTTAGGGGGGTTTAGGGATTACAGTAGGGTTCTCAGGGTATGAGCGGGTTTTTAGGTTTTAGAGTTTTGGGGTTTCAGGGTTTTAGGGTGAGTTCCTCAGCGGGTCTTAGGGGGTTTAAGGTTTTAGGGTGGGTTCCTCAGCGGGTTTTAGGGTGTGAGGGCTTTAGGGGTGTTGGGTTTAGGGCTTACGACTTGAGGGGGTTTAGGAATCTAGGGTCTTAGAGTTTTAGGGTTTCGGGGGTTAGGGGGTTTAGGGCTCTTAGTGTTCTTGGGGTTCTTAGGGTCTTAGGGCTTCAGTGGGTTTAGGAGGATTTAGGGTTGAGGGCTTTTAGGGCTGTAGTGTTCTAGGGTTTTTCAGGATGTTAGGGAGGGTTTGGTGTGCATTTCGGGTTTCGGGGTGTGGGGTACAGGGATGGATTGATGGTGAGGGATGTCGATACTTACGTCTGGTTTAGGGTTGCAGGTTTAGGGTTTAGGGTACAGGGTTTAGGTTTGGGTTTTTAGGGGCTTAGTACATCAACTCCTATATGTCCCGGAATTGCACAGTGGTTTAACACTAGTGTGGGAAAACTATCGGCTGAGATTGCTGTGGCTTGCCATAAACATGAACTTTGCAAGCAAGCATTTCAGCAGCGTTTGACAAGTCGGATGAGCGAGTTCGATGAACACACCACTGCGGGGCTAGCAACTCCCTCCTCCCAACCCATGCACCTGGAGTGTCATCAGGATGTAGAGTGCCCTAGACCCAGGAGTAACCTAGGAACAAGAAGGGTGCCCTTTTTGGCTTAAAAGGGGCTTACAACGGAACCTAAACCCTCCTAAACCCTGAACCCTGAACCCTGAACCCGAAACCCTAAACCCTGAACCCTAAACCCTAAACCCTAAACCCTAAACCCAATAAGGGCCTACTCAAGGGTCCTAGGTGCCCGACGCGCTGGAGACAACCTGATCCAGGTGTGAAGACGGTTCCTGGCGAAGTGCGGAAGCACCAGAGCTGTAAAGTCCTCAACGCCACGTCAGGTTCACCTACACTGAAAGACTGTGTATTTCGTCAGTTGCAAGACATATACTCTATCTTTAATTGCAGAGAATATAATATGTGTATATATATATATATGTATATGCATGTTAACTCAACGAAACATACATAATGCCAAACTGTTGTATATCATGCGTCATCTAACCTCCCAGGCCCGCATTCGAATCTCAGGTTTGGCGTGGATAGAAACCCTACACCCCAGCAACAGTCGTGTTCTCCCGAACTCAAAGTCCAAGGGGTTTAGGGTTTACCCGGAAATCAAGAACCCTCTACAGCCTAAAACCCTGAACTAGAGCCTGAATCATCCCCAGGTCCCCGCATATGGAGAGACGCAGACCCTACCTGGACCCTCACCAACACCAATGGCCCATAGCCCCAGATATGTATGTGGGTGACGTCTGTTGCCCTGGATGTGGGGACGACGGTAGGCTGCTTGCTTCCCACACACGTGGGACAACGGATGGTAGCAAACTTCAGCCTGCGATTCATCATTGAGCACCCCAAAGCCTGAGCTTGATTTAGATCCCTACATGCCAAACTTGTCAGAGTGACTCGATGCTCACTCTGCCCAAGGTTTGCCGTATGACGGGACACGAGAGAGCCAGCATTGAAAACTACGACCTCGGACGCTCTAAACTCCGAAGGGGTCTGATTTGCAACTTCGCCGGGATCACATTGCGCCATTGCAAGAAGATGGGGTACTTCACCACCTCGCACGGGCAACCAGCTGCTATACAGCTTTCACACCCTGCAAGCTTCGCACGCATGGGAGGTTCTCATTTTAATGCGGAGACTGATACTTAGGGTCCCCAATGAAAATTTGGACTAATTTTATTAGAGAACCCCCACAGAAGGGATTGACGCACCCAAGCTTGCATGCAGCGTGAGCCACGTGAAAAGACAACTAATCATCAAGACCTCATCGGCTACTAAATGCAGGTTCATGGTACTTATAACCCAATTATAACTGTACTTGTAACCCATTTATGAGCCCCTTGAGTGCCCCAATCTGGTAGCTAGTGCGCAGTTTGCAGAGTAGGCGAAGCCTTCCTCCAGTGCGCGGCAAAGTCCTGCACAGCAAGCTCGAAGAACTTCTGATTCCTGGACAAGAGATGTCTGCATAGCTTGCTGCTGACAATCGCCAGAAAAACGTGTAGGCAATGGGGATGTATGTCAAGAACTCCCTCTACTTCGTCATACATCAAATTTAGTCCGTATCGTACTTGCCTCTTCCTGCATCAATAAGCCCTTATGCACAACGTTTTCTTGATTGGGTCTTTTGAAGTCTCACAGCTCAGAGAGCTATAGCACGGGCCCTCCGCATTGTTGCCCCATAAACTGGGTTTAGGGCTTAGGGTGCTTAACTGGCCTTAATGGTGGGTTCTGTGGTGGATAACAACTATTTGCTTAAGAACCATCCAAAAAACTAACATATTCTTCCTTGCAAGTGCAACATTATAGCGACGACTATTCCTTGTGTTTTTTGTTGGGGGGGGGAGGTGTTTCTTAAGTAAAATAGTAGATAATGCAGTCTCCTTTTTCGGGAAATTTCAGGTATATAGAACCTCAGGAAGACCCCGGTAAAGGAACCCGAGGGTAGTAGGGTTTAGGGGTGTTGGGTTTTGGGTTAGATCTGGGTTTTGGAGTTTTAGGATTTAGGGCTTTAGTTTAGGGTTTCTGGATTGTTTTAATTTCAGGGTTTTCGGGCTTTGGGGTTCAAACGAAGAACGAGCAATGTTTGAGGCCCCCCACGTCTTGTCCGTCTCTCGTACGCCACCTTGTCGCTTCGGGGACTAGGGTATAAGTATAAGGTTTCAGGGACTGAAGGGTGCTGGGATTTTCGGGTTTAGGATCTTGGGGTTTTTAGGGTTTAGGGTTTAGGGTTTAGGGTTTAGGGTCGAAGGTTAGGGTTGCTAGGTTGGCAATTGAAACCCTTGCGGCTTGGGATTGGCAGGGGGGTGGGGGGTGGTGGCTGCGGGTTTTGAGTATTTGAGGTTTAGGATTGGGGTCCTTAGGTAGTGTAAAAGGGTTGCCTTCAGACTTTCTGAAAACAGTCCAAAAACTAAGGACCCTAAACCCTAAACCCTAAACCCTAAACCCTAAACCCTAAACCCTAAACCCTAAACCCTAAACGGCCCTCTGAGCTCTTAAACGTAATAAGGAAAATGCATGAAAATCTCCCACTGATTCCAACACTAGATCCCAGACTAGCCTGGGACAAGTTACTTTTTCGAATTCAAGGGGCTTAGGGTTTAGGGTTTAGGGTTTACGGTTTAGGGTTTAGGGTTTAGGGTTTAGGGTTTAGGGTTTAGGGTTTAGGGTTTAGGGTTTAGGGGGCTCATATGAGGTACCCTAAGCCCTAAACCCTAAACCCCAACCGTAAACCCTGAACCCGAAACCCTGAACACTCGAAAAACTACCCCCCCCCACCCCCTAAGAAAAGGGAGTGAAGCTCACGCTGGGTCCTGGAGAGTCCCACACGGCTCAGAGGCCCCCGACCCCAACGCCAGGCTTGGGGTTTAGGGCTTCTGGCTTGGGATGTTCCCCCTTATATGTCACGACTCCTTAATAGGGGTTATAATAAGGGGCTACTATCATCCCTATCAAGGACTGTTAGTACAAGGGGGGAACATCCCCAGCTGGAGCTGCAAAGGAGCAGTAGAGTGGGCCGTGCTATGCAGACGGTCTCTCTCTCTTGCGCAGTGCCGAGGCTGGGGCCGAGATGCGCCCCAGGAACGTTCCAGTCCCCACCTTACGGCAAGACGCTTTGACCTCGACCCCAAAACCTTAAGCAAACCGCAAAACCCCCCAATAGACCAAAAAAAATAAAAAAAAAAATATATATATATATACATATAAACAAAAGCGAAACCCCAAAGATCTAGAAACCTCAAGAAAGCTCGACCAAACTCGGATGGGGTTGAGGGTGTGGTCTGGTTCCCTAAGCCCTGAACCCCTAAACCCTAAGCTCTTTGGCCCGCAGAAGGCTTGCAATAAGAACTTAGTTTCAGGGTTTCGGGTTCACTGGATTAACTAGTGGGGTCTGAGAGAGCGCCTCAAGCAGTCAGCATGAAGAACCTTTACCAGCACGAGTTTTTGTGCCTCATTCGCGCAATCAGCAGGATGGTAACCGGGTTTCCTGCACATGGACCCTAAACCCTAAACCCTAAACCCTAAACCCTAAACCCTAAACCCAAACTCCAAACCAAATACGGCTCGAGGCATCTGAATCCTATAGCACAGGCAGCTCGCTGCTGCCTCGGCCTGGAAGCCGGAGTTGTGACCCTTTTGGTCCCAATTGCTAGGTTGACCCTTTTGATTGTCAAGGGACTAAAGGAGGGACCCTTACAAGGGACCTTAGGGGTTATTTAGGGGCTTAGGTATATAGGGACCAGATAAGGTATATATATATATATATATAATGTGTATATATATATATACATGTGATATAGGGCAATAAGATTAAGGGTCCCTTCTAGAGGTCCCCCTTATACCCCCAAGATTGAATTCTCTGCGTGTCCTAAATAAGCTCCTCGGGCTTAGGGATTAGGGTTTAGGGTGTTGGGCTTAGGTGAAAAATAGATGATGACACAAGGGCCTGCCTAGAATGATAGTTTAAAGAGACTCAAACAAACGAATCCATGCGATGTGTTGCGCGAGGAACAAACTTTCGCGGCTCGCCCAGCAATTGCTGCTGCTGCTGCTGCTGCTGCTGCTGCTGCTGCTGCTGCTGCTGCTGCTGCTGCTGCTGCTGCTGCTGCTGCTGAGCCTAACAATGTGCGGAGCCCCCAGGTAAATCCCTGCGCCAGATCTTCATGGCCCTGTTCCCGAAACTGAAGGGCCCCATAATTGAGCCCCTAAACCTATCTCCTACGAAACTATATTGCCCTAAACCCTACACCCAAACCCTAAACTCTGAACCCTGAACCCTAAACCCTAAACCCTACACCCTAGTGCCCTAGTAGGGGGGATACCGCACCGCCATCATCTCTTCAGTGACGGCCCTGAAATCGAGGGATGGAACAACAGCCACAGCGCACTTGGCGCAATGAGGCCGCTCACAGGGGCGCGTCTTCCTTGGTGTGACCCTAAACCCTAAACCCTTAAACCCTAAACCCCAAACCCTAAATACCCCAAAAGGGACCATTGGTCCTCTGCTGGGGCACGATTAAAGCTGCTATATAAGGGTCTCTGTAGTTGGGGCCCGGGGCACGATTGAATGCTGCTATATAAGGGTCTCTGTAGTTGGGGCCCAGGCGCCGGCTGTGTCGTGTAGGTACATGGGTCCTTTGGGCGGTGCCCAGAGTTTGCGGTTAAACAGGTGCGGTCCTCAAGAAATACCAGGGTGCGCTGTCGTCCCCCCCCCCCCCCCCCCGCCCGCGTCGTTTGGACTTCCCCCCCCGCCCCTCCTCCCCCTCCCCTAATTGAGGGCCGAAGACCTGTTGTCTGGGCTCCTTCGTGCGCAGCCGAAAGCCAGGTTTACGGTTCAGAGTTCAGGGTTTTCGTGTTTGTAGGGTTTAAGGTTTTTAGGGTTTAAGGCTTTAGGTTCCTACAGCATATTCAAACCCTCCAAGCTTTATCAGAACTACCTGGCGTGCTCATCTTGGTGCAACTGGAGTTAGAACCGGGCTGTGCGCAGAGTGCTTCAAGCGCAGCACCTGAAGCCTTGAGGCCTCTAAGCAGCCTGGGGTTTAGGGTTTAGGGTTTAGGGTTTAGGGTTTAGGATTTAGGGTTTAGGGTTTAGGGCTTTGCGTTTAGGATCTAGGGTTGACCCTACAGGCCTATAAGTTCTCGTATAAGTCTAGCCTACCGCATCGGAATTCTGTCAAAGTTTTGATCCTCTTATAATAAGTCTGACAAAACCACCTACCCCCCCTCAAACAAGGGACCCTCATCTACACCCTACACCCCTACGCCCTAGGGCTTTAAACCCTCAACCCTAGCCCTAAACCCTAAACCCTAAACCCTAAACCCTAAACCCTAAACCCTAAACCCTAAATGCTCCGAGGCTCCTAGTGAAGAGGTTCCACCCAAAGCTTTCGCCGCAGTAGACCCCCAGGGCTGCCACGACCACCGCCTCCTGACGCAGCCCTTTGGGGATCTTAGGGTTTAGGGTTTGAGGTTTAGGGTTTAGGGTTTAGGGCGGTTTAGGGCTGTTTAGGGTTGTTTAGGGTTGAGGGTTGAGGGTGACCAGAATCCGGGTTACAGTTCCGCAGGCATAGCATGAGTGGGATTTGCAATCGGGCCGACTGCAAATGACGAAACATTCGCAGGTGGCAAGGACTTCTAGTGATGTTGCATTTCTCATGATGAGGTGTCTGAACTTGCGCATTTGGCCAGTTCAAAAGCCAGGCAATTTTAGTGTTCTTGGGGCGTTCTTGCGGTACTAGGGATCTGCAAATAAGAGCAGTTTATTTGCAACGGCGGGTTCCCACAAAAGGCCTGCTGGCTGCGCCCGACCAGGACAGTGTCCACATGGCCCTCGAGCTCGAGGGTGTAGACCTCGGCACTCCAACAGCCCTGGTTTAGGGTTTAGGGTTTAGGGTTTAGGGTTTAGGGCCTAGGGAGTAGGGTTTTGCAAGTAGGGCTTAGGGATTAGGTTTTAAGGCTTTAGGGTTGAAAGGCTAAGTGCCAAAATCCCTGAAGTCCTAACTGCACAAATCTCCAGAAGACGTCTGCCGTCATGCTCTAAAGCCTGAAGAGCTGGAGTCAGAAACCCTAAAGCCTGATAAAGCTCTTGAAAAGCTCAGACCTACATCCCTGCAGCCAGCAAGCTCCCTCAAAGACCTTTGTTCCCCTCTACCACCCCGACTATCCTTACTCCTTCACACTAGGTAGGTACCTAGGGCATTGACATAACGAAATGTCGCTGGCGGGCCTCTGGCAAAAATTGCGATGCTCAGGAATTGAGGACTTATCCAGGTTTCGGGTTTTAGGCTTAGGGCTTACTAAACCCTAAACCCTCAACCCTAAACCCTAAACCCTTTACCCTTTAAACCCTAAACCCTAAACCCTAAGGGAGTTTTAGCACCTTCAAATGAGGAAGAACTCTAGAGCTCGGCTTTGCTTACACCTCCAGGCTATGGCTGCTTGTGAGGTTTGAGAGCTCCCTGAAACCCCACATGTCCCCAACACCCAAAAGCCCCGAAACCCTAGACCCTGAATCCTGAGCCCTGAACCCTGGGTGTTTAGGGTTTAGGGTTTAGGGTTTGGGGTCTAGGGTATTACCACCTGGAACTCTAGTCAGGCTATCGGTCCCCCTGCTGTGCTCAAGCGAGGCTCATTTCGCTCCTGGGTCATCTCCACCTCGCCGCAGCCTGAGCCAAGGCACAGAAGAGGTTTGTTTAGTGACTGTGTAGATTGGGACTTGCATATATTATGCCCATTCTTGCACGAGCCCTCAACCCTAAACCCTAAACCCCCAAAATCTCAGTGCATCCCTGCATTACATCGCCACGAAGCTCTCTGGTCGTCGCCATGCGCCGCGCATCTTCACAGGATGTCCGGTGGTGAGCCGGCAGCCGGGGGCAACTTCCTTAAAAGACGAATACTTGGTGGCGCGAACATGTAGGGCTAAGGTTTAGGATGAGGGAATCACAAGCTGACAGCATACAGAGATGCTCCCCAGCAGAACCTTCGAAGGCCAACAAGCCAGAGTGGGGGGAGGGGAGGGGGGGGGGGGGGGGGGGGGTGACGGCTGAGGATGAATTGTCTACATTATATCCCCATCCCTCAACACTTTCATCGTCATATTCAGATAGCCGTGTGCTAGGCCATGTGGTCTACCTTTTGGTGTTGCAGGGGAACCAAACAAAAGCCTTGTTGCTGACTCTGATCACAGCGGCGACTGTAGCAGACTGGCCGGGTGCGGGGCACTGCCAGATACGCGTCACCCGGCGGAACTGCTCCTCGGCGACCTTTGAAGCGACCGTGTGACACAACCCCCGCCTCAACCCCAAACCCGAACCCCCCAACATGGTCCCTTACCCTCTTGATGCATGGGCCCCTTCATTTGTATAGCGTATATAAGGGTTATATAAGGGGCACCCTCCAAAATGGTCTAACTCCAACACCGTGAGTACTTGGGGGAGAAGGGGGACGTTGTTCTTCTGACATCCACCGGTAGCTCGAGAATACATCTGGGGAATTCTCTCTATTAGGTTCCCTTTTGGGGTTACTCTTATCTAAGGCCCCCCCTACGATTTCGGGTACCCCAATAGGGACCATGATTTTGAGAAACGACCCTGTGGGGTGGCTGTTGCTGCATTGGAGAGGTGGAGCACTCACCGAGACCCTGAGCCCCCGTATGCTCGAACGAAGACCTCAAGTCGCTGCGAGCAAATCCTGCCCTAAACCCTAAACCCTAAACCCTAAACCCTACTAAACCCTAAACCCTACTAAACCCTAAACCCTACTAAACCCTAAACCCTACTAAACCCTAAACCCTAAACCCTACTAAGCCCTAAACCCTAATGAACCCTGAACCCTGAACCCTAAACCCTAAACCCTAACCCTAAACCCTAAGCATCTGCATTTCCTTCCCAAGGTCGAGCCACCGGAGAGCCCGTGTGCACTACGTCGCCCTCCTTCAACTCCTTGGTTGCCCTCCCTTTATCTGAAGGTGTACGAAAGGAAAGTAGGGTTTAGGGTTTTCACAAGGGTCTAGGGTTTAGGGGGTTTAGGGTTTAGGGCTTAGGGTTTTCGGGTTGAGGGATTTAGGGGCTTAGGGGCTTATAAGGAATCCTAACCTAACAAAGATCAGGACAGGGGAACAAAGGTAATTACTGGGCATCCTGGAATCTCTCATGGATTTCTGCACCTGCCGGCCAGACTTCAGGACGTGGAAGATGCAGGAGTCAGTGAAGCAGGTGCCTGAGCGCAGGACCTTCTGCCCTAAACCCTCAACCTCAAAAGCTCTACAAGCTCAAAAGACCCCAAGACCCAACAGCCCTTAAAACGCAAAAGCCTAAGCCTGTAATGTAAACCCTCTAACCCCCAAAGCACCATGGAAACAAACAAATGCACCCGAACTGAAGAATCACATAATGTAAGAAACAGAACATGCAACAACAAAAACAAAAACAAAAACTGACTTGTGCTTTGAACCCTTTGAAAATTATTTCAGAATAGGTTCCCTTATGAGGAAAGTGGTGAAATTACAAATTACCAGGCGCAACTCAGAAAAAAGAGAGAAAGAGAGAGGAATATATAAAGAAAAAACGCTAAACCCTTTTCCTAAACCCTAAACCCCAAAACCCTAAACCCTAAACAATTCTTCAGGCGAGGCAAGATGCAGCGGACGGAGTCTGGGCTCCATGCACGGGCGACCTGGGTGCGTTCGGGCTACTTCTTCAGAACTTCAGGAGCCACTATAGGGGCGATAGGGTTTAGGGTGTAGGGTTTAGGGGCCTGAATAGTAGAAAAGGGTTTTTTCGGGTTACTATAAATAGTACGATTACAAAGGGATCATAAAGGAATATGATTAGTAATTATTCCGACCCCTATGTTATGCTATGGGGGGGCTTTTGGGGGGTATAGGCCTTTTGGGGGATTTAGGGCCTTGGGGGGATTTAGGGTTTGGGGGGGGATTTAGGGCTTTGGGGGGGACTTAGACTTGGGGATTTAGGGCTTAGGGTTTAGGGTTTACCGTTTTGGGCTTTGGGGGGATTCAGGTCTTGGGGGGACTCGGGGCTTGAGGGGATTTAGTGCTGTGGGGGCTTTCGGAGATTCAGGGCGGGTCTAAGGGGATTAGGGTTTTCGGAGGCAAAGAGCCGATCTTGGCTTGAAAAGAAGACAATTGCGGGGGCACTTGTCAAGAGTAAGGCCTGGCTTTTCACCGACTTTAAGGAGGCCAAGAAAGTTTTAGGGTTTTAAGACTTAGGGTTTGGGGTTCCTAAATAGGTGCGAAACCCTCCTAAACCTTACACCTGAAAGTCGTAGAGAGAGACTCCCAGGAGCCCCATCCGTCACTGATCCCTGATCCCTTACATTTGTGACGTTCCCCCTAATGCTGACAGCCCTTAATGGGGATTCTAGTCGGGTGTACTATAATACCTACGAAGGACAGGGGGAACATCCAAGCCCATCAGCCTCACTGAGCCTTGAACCCTCAAATGCTCAACCCTCCAAACAGCCTCAATGAATGCTTGATATAGGGCCCGTGGAACTTGAGAGGATGCTTTGCGGAGATTCTGGCTTTCTACAATAAGGGCTACGGTACAAGGGAACATAGTTTGGGTCACGCTTGCTTTTGCTTCAAACTCCGAAAAACATGGAATGTAAAAATCGAAGTTCTTACTCCTACAAAATACACAATGAAACAAAAAGACCCTCCATCTGCTACCCATTGGCAGCCACGGGCTTCGGTCGAGGCTTTGGCGGGGGCTTCTTCACGCGTACAAGGCCTGAATGACAGGGACCAATGGCTTATCCCGAGAGGTTGGCAAGGGATGCAGGGAAGTCCAAGAGTCGGGTGTAGGGTTTAGGGGCTAGGGTTCCGGGTTTTAGAGTTGATTTGAACGCTTCGAAGGGCGAGGGTTGAGGGAATCCAAAACCTTCAGCCCACAGCCCACAAAGCCTCAATTCCTGGGGGAAAGTGCTGTTACTTTCCGCGCGTTTTGTGACGGTATAGGAGGACCAGAACCCCACTGCTTTTCAGGGCTCTACTACCCTATTACAGGTACAGAAGTTGGGGGGGGCCTAGGAAGGACTTCGAGTCTCGGATGTCGGAGCGTAGGGTTCATAGTGCAGCGAGGAGGCTGATGACGCTGCCCTCCATGACTTGCGTCTCTGACAGAAGCCTTGTTCGAGCCAGCTCCTGAAGGACTTGCCCCTAAACCCTATACCCTAAACCCTAAACCCTAAACCCTAAGCCCTAAACCCTAAACCCGGTTTGTGGTGCGGATGTGCAGTGGTCGGGATGCTGCAGCGGCATGTGCAACTGGCAAATTTCAGACATGGGGCATGCCCAGAGGTTCCCATATGGGGTAGTTCTGCAATAGAGGGGTTGGCTTTAGGGTTTAGGGGTTAGGGTTTAGGGTTCAGGCTTACTTGGAGTCCCTTTTCGGGTCCTGATAATTCGGGTGCCGTGCTAGATATGTATATGTATAGGACCCCAAACAGGTATCAGGGGCTAAGGGTACTTCCGCAGAACTCCATGGACGGGAATAGGGTTTCACCAAAAAGGCACTAACACACGGGGTACCTGCTACCCTAACACGAACCATTGACCAGTGAGCTCCCCGGCCTCACCGTCCACAAAGAACTTCAGGTCTTCTTTCTCGCCTTCCGAGACCCATAGTCGAGGAACCAAAGCTAAGGTTGTCTCTCTCAAGGGCTCCCGCAACATGAGGGTTTAGGGTTGTATCCCTAGCGCTTGCGAACCTCCCTAGTGCTGCGCGGCGAACCCCCAGAGCGTCTCTCTGTCTCGCCTTCGCATTCATCTGAGGACTGCTCCCTCCCGCCAGCAAAAGTCGAGGGCCCAGCCCTTGTGGTAAGACAAGCGCTTAGAAACCCGAATTAGACCTTGCACACCCTGAACTCTGAACCCTACTTAAAATACCCCCCCTACCTCCGACCGCTTTGAAGCTTCTATCGCTTTGTCGGGCTTAGAAGGCTTACAGGCCTTGTAGGGTTTGCAGGGTTTGGGCGGTTTGGGGTTCGGGGGTTGGAGGGCTCAGGGTTTATGCAACCTAAGACATGTTATGTCTTCTTGTTCTTCTTCTTCTCCTTCTTCGGCGTCTTCTTCTTCTCCTCCTTCTTCTTCTTCGTCTTCTTCTTCTTCTTCTTCTTATTCTTCTTCTTTTCTTCTCTGAGGGTCCTGGGGGTGAACCTCCACAGACCGGCGCTCCTGCCACTGCTTCACTGCACGACCCCCGGGGGGTTGATCTAAGCAACCTTGTAAGTGCCCCCCGGGTCCCTAAAACCCCAAACCCCAAACCCCAAACCCCAAACCACCAAACCCTAAACCCTAAACCCTAACCCTAAACCCTAAACCCTCCCCAACTTGCAGCGAGCCTCCCCTTTTAAGTTATTCCAGGTAACTTCGACTTGCTGAAACCGAAACCTCCTCTTTCTGGCTGTCTTTCGTTGAGAGGCTTCAGGGAAGAAGGTTCAGGGCACGACGATACGACTTTTGAGCCGGCAAACCACATGCAGCTCGCTGCCTTTCTCGCGCAAGAGGACCTCGATCTCCGAGATCTTTGTGTCCTCACGCATCTTTCTCGGCATCGATCCCTAGACCCCCGTGTGCAAAGGCCTGAAACTCACATGGCATGCAAGCCCATTGCCAAACAACTCTGATACTTGCATTCTTTGCAAGTCCCGCCCCCCAACCCCTAGAACCCCTGAAGATCAAACCTTGCCAGAAGCCCTCACAGAAAAGGGCCATTTTGGCTGTGCGAGGGGAGGGGCTAAAGCTGAATGTGAACCTGGAGGGGGGGGGGGGGGAATGGCGGGGGCTTAGGGCCTTCAGGGCTTAGGGCTCAGCGTGTTTCGATCAGCAAGCTAGGTAGGCATTTCAATCTTCAGGAGAAAAGAACAAATTTGCAACAACCAAACACACAATTCAAACCAGCATTCCAGAGACTTTCAGCCCAAAACCCTGAAACACACCTGGTGACCTTAAAACAGCCTTAATCCTGAGCCCTATTATAAACCCTGAGCCCGCCGGAGGATTTCAATCCTTGGCCATAACTTTCTCCAGGAGCGTCTCGCCGGAGAGGAGGCGGACCACGACCTCGCGCGTTTGCGCTTGAGATTCAAGGGCTTGTGGGCTTGGGGGTTCCTGGGTTCAGGGTATGTATATATACATATATATCACTCACTCACGGGCTTCGAAGAGTCTTCAAGCCGAGCAGGGGGACTTAGCCCCGGCGTGTTGGCAGCTGTTGGGCAGACCAACAGCAAGTAGCAGCGTTGAGACGGGAGACAACGGGGGTTAGGAACACAGCCTTCCTGCAACCACACGACATAGCCGAACAACAGGCAAAACGGCTGTGTCCATACCCCGCCTCATCTGTCGCTCTAGCCCCCCCACGAAGGGGGTGTATATATATATATATATATATACACGGGTTGAGGGGTTAAGAGTTTCGGGATTTAGGGGCCCAGGGTTGAGGGTTCAATGGTGCGGGCTTCATGCTTTCAGTGCTTAGGGTTTTGGGAGTAGGGATCCCGAGATGATCCCGATCACAACCCCACCCCCCCCCCCCCGTTTTTCTCCGGTTTTTCCTGCACGGGAACCACCATGAATCACCGCAAAGGGACTTAACTCCCTAAACCCTGAACTCCCGAAAGCCTAACCTCCCTAAAGCCCTAAACTCTCTAAAGCCTGAACTCCCTATAGACCCTAAACCCTAAAGCCTAACCTCCCTAAAGCCTAAACTCTCTAAAGCCTGAACTCCCTAGACCCTAAACCCTAAACCCTAAACTCCCTAAAGCCTAAACTTCCTCAACCCTAGACCGCTGAGACATCCGCAGGGCCTCTACCAGATCTGGGTCTCGCAGCAAGGACGAGCCGGACGGATTTGGACAACCTGGGTTTAGGGTTTAGGGTTTGGGATTTGGGGTTTAGTTTAGGGTTTGGGTTTAGGCTTGGAGGTAAGCTGGGCTAGGGTTTGGGGTGCAGGGTTTCGTAAGGGCTTAGAGTCCCTAATTAAGTATCTGATGCCCCCTGCTGTCTTCCATGAATGCCGGCAAGATCCAACAATACCGAGCGCAACATTGGAAGAGTATCGGATGTTCTGGGTAGCTGGTATTGAAATGCCTGTATAGGGATTATGAAATGGGGAAATGCATATACATATACATATCCATATACATATACCTATACCTATACATATACAAGGCTTCCTTTGGGAGATTCGGCCTTTTTTGCCAGAGGCAAGCGTTTTGTAGAAGATCCGGCTCGGGCGAGCGCACTTCTCCCAAGCAAAAGGGGGCCCTCAAACCTAGCATCATAAGCATCAATATGTGAAGGGGTTTGAGGAGACTGATATTTGGGAGGCAGCTCAGCGGTCGGATCGAGAAAATGCTTTGAACTTCAGACGCTTGAGGCTGAAAAAAGGGCCGCAATTCCAACACTCAGCCTTAGTCATGCGAGACATAACTGCATATACATATATACATATACATATACATATGCATATGCATATACTGATTTACATATTTATTTATCTATGGCAGCATATATCTATACACACACACATATACAGATACATGGATATCTTAAACGTAATTAAACATCATAATAACAGACACTGATAACTATTTAGACCCCTGTTGCGCACTCTGACTCCAAACATCCGGACTGCCTGAAGCCCTGCGACCACAAAAGCCCCTCCACACCATGAACCTACCTACTGTAACATGCCCCCCCCTATAAACCCAACTTCTATAAAGGCAATTGTGAATTTCCAAGTGAAAAAGTCTCAAAAGACCCTGCCCAGCAGCTCCAGGCTTCGGGTTCCTGCAGAGACTGCCACAACGCCTGCCCAAGGCCGCCACCGACCTCTCTGACAGTAAAACAGGAGGAGGGGGGGGGGGGGGGGGGCTTGAGGGGGTTGGGTTGTTATGTAGGGCTGAGGCCAGTTAAGGGTTTAGGGTTTAGGGTTTGGGGTTCGGGAAAAAGACGCTTTTCAGACTGCTAGGAGCCTACTAGGAGCGGGAGCGCGCTTGAAGACTTCATAGAATCTTCCTACAGGAGGTTCCACGGGGACCCTAAACCCCAAACCCTGCTGAACCCTCGCGGCCGAAGTTTCGGATCAAGAAATCATTGAAGTTTAGGGTTGATCTAGGGTTTAGAGTTTAGGGTTTTAGGATCTCTACGTGAGTGTCCGTAGGAGTTGGAATACCCGGTGGCTTGTTTCTGTGTCAGCGCCAACCGGGGCTCTAGAATCGTCAGACAACCCTCAGGAACTCAGAGGCTGTTTAGAAACAGCACCAAACATTCGGGAACTGTGCCGAGCCATCGGATCTATTTTAACCTGCATGGCTGGGGCCTAGCTACTGTGCGGGACCGGATGGGTCTTGAGACTAATGTCACAGTTCTTGAGACGAGGAAACGCAAGGACAGACCTCTGTTAGACATATGACCGGGTACTCTAAAATAAGAGAGTTGCGATTGACTTCTTCTGGGTGCTTAAAGGGCTAAAGGTGTTTAGGGCTTAGGGTTTCGGGTGCGCTGAACTCGCACACAAAACCCCAAGAAGATGAGCTTCTGTCATGAAATTCAAAATGGTTGCGTCAGTTTTGGGGGAGCAGCCCTCGGAAGGCCCGAAATCCCACACCCCAAATGCAGTGAGCTTAACCTTGGGCCAAGACGCACTCCGAAGGCGTTCCGAGAGCCACGACCGGTCGCCCCCAGGCAGGAAACATCCCAGGGTAATGATGTCGTCCTCCTGCGGGTAGAGGAGCTCAGGGTAGGCCTGAAGGCCTGCCTGGGAGGTGGCAATTTAAAGGGCAAGGATGGCAGCCTACGGTTTCTTGGGGTGCATGTAATTCGAGGCTTGAGGATGCGCTCAGAGACGATAATACTCAACAAAAACTTGCTATTCCGGCTTCAATCATGTACCAGGCAACTAAAACAGAACGCACCAGAACTCATTTATGCCCCTCCCATAAACCTTAGACGCTATAAACCCTGAACCTTAAACCAGTGTTTACGGCGCGTACGCAGGTTTCGCTCACGGAACCCCTGAACCTCACTCCCCACCCCACCCCTCAACATAAACAGCCCCAGACAAAGCACCGCACTCCGCCAGCCCCAGGCAGTTCAACGCCAAAACCCTAGCTCCTGGACCCCTAACGAACCCTGAAACCCTGAACCTTAAACTCCAAAACCCCCAAACCTAAAACCCTGAACCCCTACACCCGAAACCCTGACAAACCCCTGAAGTTCAGGAGTCTCCTTTACCCCTAAACCCACGAAACCTACACCCTAACCCCTTAAACCCTAAACCCTAAACCCCCGAACTCCTCGGCCGGATCCCTGCGAAATGTCCAGGTGTTTGCCCCCGCCAGCTGCTCCGAACTCTCAGCCGCGAACGCCATCCTCGGCACCGGCTGAGGGTTCAGGGTTTAGGGTTTAGGGTTGAGGGTTGAGGGTTAAGGGCTTTAAGCCATTAGACCCTGCATGTACCCCAAAGGCCAAAACTTTAGGCCTCAAGCGTGAGTGTTGCACGAAGGCTTCGTTTTGGCTGCAGCTTGGGGGAAGTTTAGGGTTTAGGGTTTGGGGTTAGAGTTTAGGGTTTAGGGTTTAGGGTTTCGGGTTTAGGGCTTGCCTTGTGGGGGCGGAGGGCGCAGTAGACTTCAGGGCTCTTAGGGGCTCTTAGGGGCTATTTGGGTTTAGGGTTTAGGGTTTAGGGCTGGCATCCAGGCAAGTGGCAGGTCCTCCTGAAGTGCCTTCGTCATGGCGGACATCGCAACCTGGCCCTCATCAGGAGCCGCCGACGGCTTGGAGGAGCCAGAGGGCTTGCATGGGATGTGCGGAATCCTCGGCCAAGTGACATGGGCAGCCCCAAACCCTAAACCCAAAAACCCTAAGACCCTAACACCCCAAAACCCTAAAACCCTATAACCCTATAACCCTAAAACCCTAAAACCCTAAAACCCTAAAACCCTAAAACCCTAAAACCCTAAAACCCTAAAACCCTAAAACCCTAAAACCCTAAAACCCTAAAACCCTAAAACCCTAAAACCCTAAACCCTAAACCCTAGCCTTTTATCAAGTTGGGCACTTGGCTGCTTGCAAAGTCAGTAAAAGATTGTGACCCCATCAGGGCGTGTGGTTCAGGAATTCAGGCTCGGGTCTTTGGAGCCATGATTGGGGATGGAGTTCGGAACCCTTAAACACCCGAAACGCCCGAAACCCCCCTTAAACCCACCCCAAACCTTAAACCCCCTAAACCCCCAAACTCCCTAGACCCGCCTAAAAGCACGCTGAGCCCGAACCGCTAAACCCGCCTACCGGGATGGGCTATTAGGCCCTATAATCCCTTTGATCAACCCTATAAAGGGCCTTTTTAAGGGATTGTAGGGTATAATAGCCCTAAACCCTAAACCCTAAACCCTAAACCCTAAACCCTAAACCCTAAACCCTAAACCCTAAACCCTAAACCCCCCAACCTCCCTCAGATGCTGCGTGCCAAGCCGCACATGCCCGAACAAGCGCCGGCAATCATCGCCGTAGACCATGGGATGCCTTGGGCGGGGGGGCTTAGCTTCCCCCTCAAAGGTTAATAGCGTTTAGGGATTTAGGGTTTAAGGTTTAGGGTCTAGGGTTTAGGGTCTAGGGTTTAGGGTCTAGGGTTCCGCCGAAGGGTTCATAGGGTTTGCAGGGCTGAGATACCTACTGACCTATGTACATAGGGATTACGCTTTAGGGTTTGGACCGTAAGGCTACTAAATATATCGGCAAGCCTGTAGTTGAAGGCCCACATGTATATACTATATAGGTCATTCTAGGTACAGGGACCTTTAGGGCTCTAGTCAGCCTCGTGCGACTGAAGTGTGGCTTGCGGGCCACTCCTATGAGTTTAGAGGGATTTAGGGGTTTGGGATTTAAAAGGGCTCAGGATTTCAGGGTTGCGTTTGAGGCTGTCATTTCCGAGTTTTTAGGCTTTCGGGTGTCAGGTGCGAGGTATACGGGAAGTTCATATATATATATATATATATAGATATCCTTCTGCAGCCCATACCACTTGATCCTGTTGTAGATGGAAGATCGCCCCTTGGGCCCTAAACCCCGAAACCCTTTGCAGCTTTATATAGTTTAGGGTTTAGAGGGTTTAGGGTTACAGGGCTTAGGGCTGAGGGTTTAGGGTTTCGGGTTTAGGGTGGTTTCCCCCACCCCAAAGCCCTGTACTTCAGGCCGGCCGCGTCGTGTGCGCGTGCCAGATCCAATCGATCTCTGCCGAAGGTCCGGCCTGATTTAGGTGTGGGGTTTAGGTTTGAGGCTTTGGGTTTAGGGCTTAGGGATTTGGAGGTTGAGGGGACTAGGGCTGCCAGTCTGAAAACCAAAGACATGAAGCACCCCAAAACAAAGTGCCACAACCTTCGCGCATCATCCCGAAGCAAGCCGCAACCAAAGACCTCCGCAAGTGGCACATACAACCAGGCACCAGAACCAAAGCAGAAACGACTGACAAGAGGACTCGATACCCTGAGACCCTAGGCCATAAACCCGAATCCCTTAAAAACAAAGCTCATCCTGGGGGACCACATGAGCCCTAAAAGGGTTTACGGTTCATAGACCTTAGTAGGGACTAGATTAGTATGCGGTCTATATGACCCCGATTTCCGGGTTTAATTGGTTTACAGGGATGCAGCATGTTTCTGTTGGTAGCCCTGCAACCATATGATAATAAGGGCACCCCTTTTAAAGTTGGTTACTTGATGAAGGGAACCCAGAATCAAATCACAGGTAAAGGTTACTACTGGGCTACCAAAACCCAAAACCCAAAACCCAAAACCCAAAACCCAAAACCCAAAACCCTAAACCCTAAACCCTGACTCTGGGCCAATGATAGGTTTTGTAGATAGGCTCCCAGGCCCCACCCTGCCTGGCTGCTAGGCCCGGCTTCGCCCATGACAATCCTTTGCTGGCGGCTTAGGGGTTTAGGGTTTAGGGTTGAGGGTTTAGGGGCTGAGGGTTTAGGGTTTAGGGTTGAGGGGTTGATGGTTTAGGCTTAGGGTTTAGAGGGGTTTAGGGTTTAGGGTTGCATATGGGAGCTTGCGCAAGGAATGTTGTATTTCGGGGTGCACAATAAGGGGAGTTCCCCCCTAGAAAACAAAACCACTCATGTAGGGAGCTAATATAGGGGCCTGAATAGGTAGAACAGGGTTTGGGGGGTTATTATGGTAAAATATAAAGGGACCATAGGGGAAAAAACTAGTAGTAATCGTTCCGACCCCTATATTATGGAAGGAGACAGGGGGCGCGGGTCCAGGAACTCCAGGAGCCCTGAAAACACAAAGCGACCTGGCAGCAGCATCAACAGGGTTTAGGGTTGAGGGTATAGGGTATAGGGTATAGGGTTTAGGGTTTTGGGGTTTAGGGTGTATAACATCGCGCCAGGCGTCAGGAAGCGCCTGTAGTAGAGGCCCAGCAGGTCCATGATCCGAGCTGCAGGGTTGGCATTATCCTGGTCAAAGGCTCAGGGCTTCAGATAGCCCACCGGACCAGGCTTGGCTTGAAAAAGGACTGAGGGCCCAGGGAGCACAGGATTTGTTCTGGAGATGTGGGTTGCGCCTAAACCCTAAACCCTAGACCCTGAACCCTAAACCCTAAACCCTACACTGCCCTACACCGCCTGCTCCATGCCGAAGATCAAAGCGCGGGGGTCGCCTTGGCACTGGGTTGGCCGGTGAAGTCCTCTGAAACGGGTTCCTGTGGGGTTTAGGGTTTAGGGTTTGGGGTTTAGGGTTTAGGGTTTAGGGTTTAGGCTTAGGGCTTAGGGTTCGCCAAGGGCTCCACCTGAAACCTGTTGAGGGCTGTGGTTTTTCCTTGGGCTTGCTTGTCCAAATGACCATGCGAAAGGCTGCCCAGTAAGAGTTGAAGCCCAAGAAAAGCTGAAAACACATAATCCTGAAAAGGTTGGTAGCCCAGAACCCCATACTACACTAAGGCTTGGGGATACTTTACAAAAGGCAACCTCGAACCATGAGAAAGGCAAAAGGGCACCACTGGGTGACCAAGAGGTGCTGAGGTTCAGGTTCAGGGTTCACGCCCCCCCCCCCCCCGTCTTCTGGGGCACGGAACTGGGTGCCACGCCCAAACTTCTACAACCTGAACCCCTAACATATCCTAAACCCTGAACCCTAAACCCTAAACCCCGGACCCCAAACCCGAAACCCTAAACCCGAAACCCGAAAACCTAAATCCTCAACCCTGCGGAGAAGTGGCTCAGCGGCGCCAACCCAGCGGCCTCCAAAGCAGCCAGACCTGGTTTGAAAGAGCGTTTAGGCAGGCGAGTGGACAAGGTTTTTGGTTCAGGGGTTTGGTTGGAATTTTCCCCCTCCTACTAAGAGTCCTTAACAGGGATTGTAGTACCCCCCTCCCTAGAAATAATCCCTACTAAGGACTAGTTAGTGTAAGGGGAACATCCCCAAGGTTTAGGGGTTGAGGCTTTATTTTATTCGAGCGCACTGTTTATTTAATTGTTTCCCTCCCCCAACCCTTCTGTTACCAGCCCTTGAATGTATTGACCGATGCATACACCTTACATACTCCCGATATACCTAAGTAGCCCCTAAATCACCTACAATAACCCCTACGGTCGCTTATAAGGGTCCCTCCTTTAGGTCCCTAGATGCAAGGACCCGGCCCCTGTAGGACCTACGGCCAGTCCTTTGCACATCTAGCCAAGGGAGTGCTTGGAGTATACCTTAAGCACTCAAGACTCAAAACCTACTTTTGTAGGCAACGCACCTGAGAACCTACAAGGTTTTTAGACTAAGAACCTACAAAACAGTAGGTTTTGGGGCTCCTACGGTAGGGTTTAAGGTCTTTCTTCACAGGTGTTCTTGACTTCAACTCATGCCGTGAACTTGGTGCCGCCGCGAAGCCATCGACGAAAGCAAGAGGAACACCTGCCAGCCTGAGGACTCAACGAGCTTTTTCAAGGTAGGGCATTGGGCTGCATAGGGTTTCGGGTTTAGGGTTTATAAGGTTTCGGGTTTATAGGGTTTAGGGTTTATAGGGTTTAGGGTTTAGGGTTTAGGGTTTAGGGTCCAGGGTTTAGGGTTTAGGGTTTAGGGTTTAGGGTTTAGGGTTTAGGGTTTAGGCTTTAGGGTTTAGGGTTTAGGGCTCTTGTGTCCAATCCCGACATGCCCATGGCAGCCGCAAAGCCGAAGCCTCAAACCCAAATGGGTGCTTCCGACAAGAGGGGCACCCCCATATTGCCCGCAATTGCAATAATCCTTCGGATAGGAACCCCCAACAAGGGTCTGCTTAGTTTGGGGAAAGCCCCATATATACACCAGAATCCTTTAAAGTAACTTTAGAAGTCGTAATGGTGTCCGTGACCAAACCCGTATTTCATGAAGGCGGCTGCCGTTCATTTACATTACATGTTGGGTATAACTTCAGTATAGCTAAGTTTAGGGTTTTCGGGTACAACTAAATGTTGATGTAGAGTTGCCATGGTTGAGCCGTTTTTGTTGGGGAAAGTGAAGTCCTGTGTACTCCTGAAGCCCTGAACCCTCAAAGCTCTACCCCCCAAACCCGAAACCCTCAATAACACGCTTAATCCCTTCCCCCTAATATTAAACGGGCCCCCCCCCCCCCCCCCCCCCTTTAAAAAAAAAGTGTTTTTATTATCAGGGGGTATTCTTATCGAAATGTCATAAATTCATGAGACTTCAGGGTTTTCTCAAGCAATCAACTTAAGTAACCCTCTGAGGGTTTTATTGGTGTTGAGGGGTTTCTTGGAGGCCTGAACCCCCCCCCTAATTCGGACTAGGGTTTTAAAGGCGGGGTTGGTTTCGGCAGGATTTTCCGGAAAGTGTTTTATTCTTAGGGGTCCATTTAATAAAAGGGGGAAGGGATTAAACCCTAAACCCTAAACCCCAAGCCCAATTCATCCCGCGCGGCGCGTCCGAGGGCACATCCACACGGTTCACGTGGGCTCGCTGCGCTTGCACTTGCTGCCTTAGAGGGGGTTTAGGGTTTAGGGTTTAGAGTTTAGGGCGCTTGCGGCTTGTGCTTTGGCTCGGAAGCTGTGAAGGACAATCTCTTGGGGCTTGACGTGGAGCTTTTGCAGGGGGGGGGGGGGGGGGGGGGGGACTGGGGTTCAAGGATTTGTGGAGCTGAAGCTGAAGGTTCAAGAATGAAGGTCTTTTGGGATCTGTTGGGATTTAGGCTGGGGGATTAGGACTTGGAGGTGTAAGGTCCCATTCAGGTTTCTAGGGGCTGTTTGGATGGGCTGACGCTGGAATAGGGTTACGGTTTTCAGCTCGATCTCATGACCTAACTTATGAAGATCTCATGACTCATGACCTAACTTATGAAGAGGCAATTTGGGTCGGCTTTTTGGATCGTGGTGCTCTCTTCGGGCACCCGTGCTTTTTGTAGAGCTTCCGGTTACAAAAGGAGAGCACTCCTACAGGCTCAGCAACAAGGCTAAGTGCAATCCCCTTAAACCCTAAACCCTGAACCCGAAACCAAAACCCTAAACCCTAAACCCTAAACCCTAAACCCTAAACCCTAAACCCTAACCCCTAAACCCGAAACCCGAAACCCGAAACCCAAACCCTAAACCCAATCTACAGGAGCAAGTCCCTGCATCAGAGGGTATCAGTGGCCGAGCTGCTCTGAGAACGGCGCACGGGCGGCCTGCTCAACATGCAAATGCACCAACAGACACAGACAAACCCATGCATCGAACTGTCGCAGCCAGCAGGGCGTCATGCGCCTCAAAACACTAAGCCTTAGAAAACCATCGACCTGCACTATACTGTGCAAGAAGTAAACTGCAAAAAAGAGACCACAAACCCTAAGCCCTGAACCCTAAAACCCTAAAACGCGAAAACCCTAAACCTGAAACCACTAAAACCCTAAACCCTAAAAACCCTAAAAACCCTAAAACCCCAAGCCCCTAGCCTCTAAACCCTCAACCCCTAAAACCCCCCTCCCTCCCTCCCACAGGGCACATCCGGCAGGCCTTGGTGTAGCCCGCCGAGCTGGGCGGGGCCAACGGCCCAATGGAGCGCTTGACCACATTGGTGCAGAAGTTCTGGTACCTTTTGCTGAGTGGTGCTTTAAAAGCCCCTTCAAAAAAAATTGGCTTATGAATAGTGGTTCCCTTAAAAGGGAAGGAAGGGAAATTTTAATAATTATCCACAAAGCACTACCCAGTTTGGGGTTTAGGGATTAGGGCTCAGGGCGTGTATTCTTTAAGTTTTTGATTTAGGCTTTGGTGGTTTCGGGTTTCTTCGTTTTGGGGCTTGGGGCTTGGTGGCGCGCGCACGTGGACTGCCTGCTTCGCGAAACGGGTTTTATACGGAGTTTCGATTGCTTTTGGGACTCTGAAGCTGGGTATTCAAGGCCTGCTGGCCTTTTGCTGTAATTCTTCGCCTTATCCAAAGCCATAGGGGTCACAGAATACTTGTGGGAAAAACTTCGCATCATAGCGGACCACGACATGTAATCGGGTCAGCTTTTTTGCTTTATGGATTTGCTTACTTGTTTCTTTTATTCTGTTTTTCGGATTCTGGCTTGCAGCACTTGGTGGTGCGGAGGTTCCGGTACCTGCTTGAGGGTTTCAGGTTTTAGGCTTTGGGCAGGGTTTAGTTCAGTGGTTTGTGACTCGTTGAGTCCTTCTGCCACGAGCAATTGTCTTGGGCGTGGATGGTAGAAGGCCGTGCTACGAAGGGTGTGGACATTCTGTTGTCGTTTTGCTGCCGCAGTGTCTTACTGACCGTAAACCCTAAACCCTAAACCCTTAACCCATAAACCCATACACCCATAGACCATCAACCCTTAACCCCTTAACCAACCACAGGCAATGGTGATTAAAAATCGCACCCTACGCTGGAGAACTGGTGTTGACAGCGACTTAAGGTTCAGGGTCCCTAACGATCATAAAGGTTTTGGGGTAGGGTACATCGAAACACAGATCGGTCCTTCACAATACCTGTCCTTCCCTAAACCCTAAAACCCCTAAAAACCCCAAAAACCCTAAAAACCCTATAAACCCCCCAAAAAACACTAAAAACCCTAAAGCCCCTAACAGCCCTAAAAACCCCAAACCCTAAACCCTAAACCCTAAGCAACACCAGCTTCAAAGTCGCCAGACTCCGACAGCTTAGAGGGTTTCGGGGCTGAGGGAACGCCTACACCCAAACCCTGAACCAAGATCTAGAACCCTCAATTTGTCAAAAGCCTAACTCCTCCCAAAACCCTAGAAACTCCGAAAATACCCAACCTACACCTTGAAAAAAGTATATTAAGCCCTAGCTAAGCCCAAAAAAACCTAAATTTGCGGCAAGTATAAACCCTAAACCCTACGTATATATGCCAGCCGAGCGGCGGCTCGGCGTAGAGGAGATGAGCGAGCCAGCACAGCCAGGCTTTCAACGGCGGGCTCGACGAGGGACGGACATAGTAGCGAGGATCGCTGCTGTGCGCGGAAACCTCTTGGAGGATAGCGGGATTCGGGACACATGAACCCTTAAAAGGGCTTATGGTTCATATACCGTTGGTTGGAGATATAGTGGTATAGTATAGGGTATCTGACCCTAATTTTCGGGTTCATTTGGTCCCCCAAGGATTGGAGGACTCGGCTGTGAAGTAGTTGTGATATACCCCAAAGCTTCCAAACCCAACATATAGTTGCAAAAGCCCGAGAACCCAGAACTCACTTGGGTATACGGAGGAATAATTAGAATACGGATAAGGGCTAGCATCCTTCAAGGAAAAAAATGAGCCCTGAACCTCAACCTAAACCCCAAGCCTCAAGCCCTACACCATAAACCAACAAAACCTAAACCTCACAATGAACTCTGAACCTCAAACCCCTAAGCCTCAGATCTTACACGCGCCCCAAGCCCTACACCCCAAAAAGTTTCGCCGGCTTGTCTGTTTTTCTTTGCGCGGCCTGGCTCTTCATGTAGGCCAAGTAGGTGGACTTAGCCGACTGAAAGGTCTCTGGGTCCCACCACTTCCTGAGGACCGGAGCGGGTTTAGGGTTTAAGGCTCCGGATCGGGGGGGGGGGGGGGTTTGCGTTTAAGGATGGGTTTAGGGTTGGGGTTTGGGTTTCAGGCTCTTGGGCTTGGGGTCGAAAGGCCAGCCTGGGACTTAAGGGAACTTTTGTTGTGTGCAAGAGGCACTTAAGCTCTACAAACCCTCAACCCTAGAACCCCTCAGACCCTAAATCATCCTAAATCTTTCTCGGACCCAAGTCCGTGAGGTTGACGCCGAAACTTTTGCAAGGCCCAACTGATGTCGCGCCATGGGCGTGGTCGATATGGGCCCCGCATCCGTAGGTTCAAGCTTTAGAGCATGTAGCAAATTGACAAATCTCAAGCCTACACCATGAAACCAAAATCCCAAACCCTGACACCTCTGTGCAAAACCCTAAACCCTCAATCCTAAACCCCTAAACCCTACATCCCCAATTGCATCAGCCCAGATTCGTGTACCGAGCCGCGCCGAGCCAGTGCTTGAGCAGCCTTGGTTTCGATCCGCCCAGACCCAAATCTAGGACTGAGGGTCGAGTTTGAGGGTTTAGGGTGTTAGGGCTAGGGTTTAGGGTTTAGGGTTTAGGGTTGGAGGGTTGTAGGGTTTAGGGGTTGAGGATGCCGTTGCGTTTGTGTTCTTCGCTTTAGGTGGGTTGAGTACACTGAACGGTTTTGTAGAGCTCAAGGTTTGAGATCTTAAGAGTGTAACAAACACTGAGGGCTCGAGTGTTTTCCTTTTTTTTCTGCGGGTGGGTACCATATAAAACCGGAATCCTTCTAGACAGGGACCCAAAACGGGAAGGTATTGACCTCATGTGCCAGAGCATCCCCTCCCGCCGGGGTCTGCAGATGTCTGCAGCGTTTTCGTGTGTGGATTGTGCTTGAACCTTGAGAGACCCGTAACTTTGGTTTTCTTTGGCGGACACAATAGGGAACACAAATGTTGGGAACATGCATGGTAAGGGAAGCCTTCAGGGGTGAAGCTTTGTCAGGATTGTGGATTGAGACTCCCCACCAACGAATCGCCCCCTGCAAATGGCAAACCCCTTGTTCGAACCCCTGCTGCAGCTCATGCTGCAAACCTTGAAGCCTCTAAAAACCCTGTGCGCCGAAAAACATGTATGCTCTGTCATGCTGTTGGGTCCTGAACCCCATTCCCTCAACCCCAAACCCCCGAACCCCGAACCCGAAACCCTATAGGGCCCCGGGGCAAGGAGGCGGCCTGAGGCACAGCTGCATGAAGCGGCTGGCAGCTGCGAAGCAGCTTGGTCACCTCTGGGCTCTAAGAGGGCCAAAGCGGTCGGGGGCTTCAGGGAATGAGTAGGGGCTCAAGGGGGCTTTCAGGTAGAATGGTAAAAACAAATATGACATAGACAAATACACGCACATGTATAAGTACATACAAAATAGGTGTACATATATATATATATAGAGAGAGAGAGAGAGACAGAGTAGATGCAGCCCCAGAAGAGCCCGTAAGGTTTCTTTTAGGGGCTTCTTTGTTCGTTCCCTTAAGTTTAGGATTCAGAAGTTCACGAAAAGCTTGGGGGCTCCAACATCCAGCCCTAAACCCCGAAGCCCCCAACCCGGCAACCCTATAAACACCTAACCCCTAAACCCCCTAAACCCCCTAAACCCCCCAAACCCTCTAAACCCCTAAACCCCCGAAACTCCCAAACCCTAAACCTGGGAACACCAGATCTGGGTGCTAGAGTCACCTCCTCGACAGTCGTGGACGAGGCATCTGCGAAGCTCCTTGCGAAGCTGCCGGAGAGATTGAGACCTGGTTGTGGATTTGGGGTTTAGGGTTTAGGGTTTAGGGTTTAGGGTTTAGGTGTAGTATTCAGGGTTTAGGTGGCTCATCAAGCATCGGGGCCTGCAAGGTTCAAGATTTCATGCAAAAACCGTATTCACTTTGCTGGAGAATAGAAACCCCGAGCCCCTACCAAAGAGACTTCGGCTGTGGAGCCTGAGAACACAGGGTTCAGGGTTTCGGCTTTGGGGCTTAGGGTGTTTGAGGCTTTTTGAAGGGGTGGTTTAGGGGCTTTCGGAGCTCATGGTAAGGGGCTTCTAGTGCATGTGAGGGGTTTCAGGGGCTTATAGTCAGGATATAGGGATTGAAGGTTTAACGACAGTCAAGCCTGTCGAATACACCCTCAACTATCCCAAACCCTAAACCCCAAACCCCAAACCCTAAACCCCAAACCCTAAACCCCAAACCCTAAACCCCAAACCCTAAACCCTAAACCCTAAACCCTGATCCCCTGAACATGCCCTCAAAGCTGGAAGCCCAAGTGGCCCGAATCGAAGTCCAGGGTCAGCAGCGGCTGGTGCTCCAGCTGTCGCCACGCCTCGAGCTGTGAGAAATTTTCTTGCTTTGGGGGTTCAGGGTTTAGGGTTTAGGGTTGCCCTTAGGGTTTAGGGTATTAGGGTCTTAAGTTTTTTGTGGGCTTAACGGTGTTAAGGGCTTCAGGCTGACAGAGCAGGGATCTACAGTTACAGCGGCTCTGCTGGCACTTCAGGGTTTGGGCCCTTCAGGGTTTTGGGATGTTTATGCTTTTTTCAGGACATCTCGGCATGTAAGGTAAAAGGTGTAGGGGGTACAAGGCTTAGGGTTTTTAGGGAGTTCAGGGTTTTAAAGACTTTAGAGTATCGGGTACAGGGAGAATTGGGTGTAGCATTGACGACCCCTAGAAGACCGCAAAACCCTAAACCCTAAACCCGAAAAAATAAACCCTAAACCCTACACCCTACACCCTAAACCCTAAACCCTTAAGTGCCCTTAAGAGCCCTCTCTGCCTGGAGATCGCCGCGGGTGCGTGGGAAGCCCTCCACCAGCACCAGCTGGCCGAGGTAACCTCCCAAGGGCTGTATACACATCAAAAGCTACCTGCAGCAGCACACAAACTAGTAAAATGAAGCTGAACACAACACAACGCACGCACGCACACGCACACACGCGCGCACACACACAGATATATATAAAAATAAATATATATATATATATATGTATGTATATACATATATACACATGTGCCCATATACAGTGATATACACGTGTATAGGATCAGACTCAGACATGCAGACTTTAGTTTAGCACCCAACCATGTCGGGGCTTGAGCCCCAAAAATCTCAGGTTGCAGCGTTTAACCCTTGGGCTTCCTCTTTCTCGTATCTTCCTCGCATCTCTCAGGCGCTGCAATGCGATCCCCAAGTGGACCACACATGCGCAATGAGGGCAAGCCGTGCCTCGAGCGCGCAGTTGCTGTTGAAGAGAAAGCGCTGCCTGTCCCAAGACAAGTCGTGTGGCTGGGACACCTTAAGCCCTAAACCCTATGGACCCTAAACCCTAAATCCTGACCAAAGATCCGCTAAATACAGTAGTTTTACCGTGTTCTTCCTTCGCTTCCTGGTTCACGGATTCGTTCACAGGCTATATTTGGTTGGGTTTCACACGCGCCAAAACAAGCTCCAAGAGCGACACAGCGACTCGGAAGGTGATTCCCTGGTCTGCCCAGCATCGGGGTGGATGAGCAGGGCTTAGAGTCCAAGGGCTAAGGCTTCAAGGGGTTGATCCTGAGTAGATAGGTTGGTCTCGAAATAAGGGTACCCGCTTCTACCTCCCCCCAAGTATAGCCTTATCATCCGCCGTACAAGGACATTAAGGGCCCCCGAAAAACGAACCACTTATTTTTCAGCAACCGAGACACGGGGTTCAGGGGGCTATGGTTTCGTGTTCAGGGTTCAGAAGAGGGTACTCTTTAGATGCGTTTGGATGGTCCGGGACAAAGGAGCGCATCATCTTCGGAGCCTCGGCGTAGCCAAGGACCTACTCACTTCGGAGGCCAGGGGAGGTGCTTGAGGGTTTTGGGTTTCAGGTTTGACTTCCTATCCCTACATCCACAAACCCTATGCCCCAAAAAAGCCTGAACCCTCCTGAGCCTGCTCAGAGGTGGCACTGGCGACGCCGGGGTCCGCGAAGCGAAGCCGCTGCAGGCAGTTTGCTGGCAGCCTGGGGCAACATTAAGCGACACCCTAAACCTTGAACAAAAAACTAACCCTAAACCCTAAACCCTAAACCCTTAACGACCCTGCAAGGCCTAAACACCCTTAAAGCCAAAGATGCACCGAAACACCCTACGAGTACAAGCCGTAAACAACTGCACAGAATCTCTAAAAACCCAGAATGTACTGACAAAAGACGATCCCCACATCTTTATTGACCGCGTCAAGGCTGACAAAGTCGCACTTCTAACCTTTTGTTTGAGTATGAAGGAAAGCACATATAATATAATATATATATATACATATATACATATATGTATATATGTCTAATACAGCACAATCATACATATATATACACATATATATATATTTATATTTATATTTAGGTATTTCTCTTGTTCACTCCATGTGTACGTAGGGCTTGAAGCCCAGCCGCTCTTTGGCCACCGCGCAGGCTGTCGCCTCAATGAGCTCAGGCCTTCCGCAGGCGAAGACCAGAGAGGGCCTCCTGGGCAGGGTTTAGGGTTTAGGGTTTAGGGTTTAGGGTTTAGGGTTTAGGGTTTAGGGTTTAGGGTTTGGGGTTTGGGGTTTGGGGTTTAGGGTTTAGGGTTTAGGGTTTAGGATGTGTTTGCTCTTGGCTTTGCTTGGAGGTTTAGGGCTTTTTGGGGGGTGCTCTAAGGGCTTTTAAGGGGCTTAGGTTCTGTTTTTTAGAGGTTTAGGTGCTTAGAGTTTCCTAGTGTATTAGGGGCTTAGGATTTGTTGAGGGAGTTTTAAGGGCTTACGGTGCTTTCAGGGTTTTAGGGGCTCAGGTTCTTGTGAAAGGGCTCTATAGGTGCTTGGGATTTCTTAGTGTATGACGAGGGGCTAAGGATTTGCTTAGGGGTCTTCGGGGTTTAGGATTTCTTGAGGGCGGTAGCGGTCTTCGGGTTATTAGGGGCTTCAGGGGACTTGGGGGTTTAGGGGACAATCTTGCCTCGGTTACATGGTCCGTGAATCTGGGCGCTTAAAAGGGACCCCTTATCTACCCCTTACATACCCTGTAAAACCCCGGCGCCCATACTTCAGAACCCTTTATTGGATGGCAAGGGGCCAGATTCAGGGGACCAGGTAACTACCAGAAGCTGAGTGGTGCTTTAAAGCCCTTTCAAAACTGTTTATGAATAGGCTCCCTTAAAAAGGGAAAGAAGGGAAATTCAAAATTATCCCAAAGCACTACACAGTAAGAGATTCGGGCAGATTAGGGCGCTAGGGTTTGCGGCTTTCTGTGGTGTGGTGTCGGGCTAGGAGCTTGGGACTTGGGACTTCGGGATGCTTGTAGGAGTGTTGGGGGGTTGAGGGTTTAGGGTTTGGGGTTTAGTGTTTGGGGTTTAGGGCTTATGTAGGGTTCTTTTTGCCCGCCTTGGTGTTTTAGTGTTTCGTGGTGTGGATTTGGAGATCATCCTATTTTCTGATTTTTCTCGGAGGGGGTGGACCAATTTAGGGTGGATATCCAAGAGTGTCTAGGTTCAAATCCTAATCCCAAAACCCTTTCATCTACCCGTAAGCCCTTCATGAAGACGGACGCAAAGGATTCAAGCACTATGGCTATGTCCAGATTCAACTAGGCGAAATTCAACATGATGCTCCGGAAGGTCACCGGTACCGCACGCATAAATGAGTCACAGACGAGGTTGGCTCAAAACTCCCTCTGGAAAAACAAACAAACTGCAACATGCAAAATGAGATCGGCCTACTAGTACATAGCACGACGCCCTGGAAAACCCTCAAACCTGAAAAGCTCTCAACAATGCAACCATATGGGGGTGGGTCAAAATTCGGGTTGTCGCGGGGGGTCCCCCACCCCCTCTGTTACAAGCCTTGTCGCGGGCAGGTTGTTTCATACGTTTGTCGCGCCGCTACTTTGAACCCAATTTTCTTATTTGGGTTTTGTAAGGGTTTAGGATAAACGGTTTAGGTTTAGGGTTGGGGTTTCGGATGAAGGGTTTAGGGACCGCAGGGATTTTACCGGAGAGCCATGAAACCCTGAACACTGGAAAAATATACCCTGGGCTTCTGGTTCAAGGTTGTCCTACGGATGGGCACCTGCTGGCTCGAGCAGTCGCGCGGGTTGTCGCGGGTATGTCGCGCCCTGTCGCAGGCCTTGTCGCGGACTGAGAGTGAAAGTTGCTGCAGACACGCATCAAGGTCGCATCGAGATTGGCAATGATTAAATTCAATGGTATTGCTGTCTTGTCGCGGGGGGGGGTTGTAGCCTTGTCGCGGGGAGGGTTGTCGCGGACGGGGCCCGTCTGTTACAACCTTTGTCGCGGAGGGACCCCCCGGCGCCTGTTACAAGCCCGGAAAAAAACTCACTCCCATATAACAAAACGAGCAAAATGGCAGAACAATACAATCTTGATCATAATGTACTAACATAATATCCAATTTCAAGGCCAGTTTCAGGTGCTGCGACGCGGCGCCCTCCATGAGGGCTGGCGAGCCGGTCGAGTCGACGTATCGCGTGAGGCCGGTGTCGTGGAAGTTGTTGACGACCTCGCGGTGTTTAGGGTTTAGGGGGTTTAGGGTTTAGGGGGTTCAGGGGGTTTAGGGTTTAGGGTTTAGGGTTTAGGGTTTAGGGCTTAGGGAAGGGCTTAGGGAAGTTTAGGGTTTAGGGTCTAGGGTTTGGGGCAGTGCTTCGGGTTTAGGGCTCAGGGTGTTGTACAGGGTTGCTGGCAATGAACTTCAACCGAACTACCATAATCAGGCAACCACCCTAAACGCCATAAACCCTAAACCTCCAGTATTGTGATAACTTGACTCAAGTTCCTTTAGACTCCAAAACCTATACATCCCGAATAAGGCCTAAACCCTTTGCCTCAACAGCAACCCGGTGTAGTGTTTCTGCCTTTAAGGATTTGAGGCTTAGGAATCGGAGCTTAAGGATCTACAGGTTCAGGCTAGTTAGGGCAGGTTTTGAGCGTGTGTGGCCTTGGGGGTCGAGAGTTGAGGGACAAGGGCAGTTGGGGTTAGGGATCAACTGTAAGAGTGATGGCCAAAACCCAAAACCATAACCCCGCCTGAAGGTTAAGGATTCTAGGACTTTAAGAACCCTCAAGCCCTAAGAACCCTAGAGCCCTGAAGCTCAAGGAGCCAAGAACCCTAAGAGCCCTACACCTAAAGAGCCTTGAGGGCTTAACATGAGGGCCTTACTGCTAGTTTCTAGTATAGTTATGTTCATGTTTATTTATTTTTTTTTTCTTTGGGGGGGGGGGGGGGGGGTGGTTCTTGTGGTATAATTACAATGATGGGGCTTAGGAAAGGTCCCCAGGCCAACCCTGTCAACCCTAGGCCAGGTGAGGACCGCGGCGCCTTTGCCGTTTCCGTGCGGAAGTAGGCCAGCCGGTCATCGAACCTCCCCTGGAGGCAAAAGGGGCCCTTAGGCTCTTCCAGCCTTTGGGTCTTTTGTTGTTTTTTGAAACCTTATCCTCATTAGGCTCAAAATGGGACAAAAACCTGATGTAGGAGGGGCCTGAGGTCCCAAAGACCCTAAAATAAGATCCTCAGAGCCTTGGGGTTAACTTCAGGGTTGCACCTGGCAGGCCGTGGGGCTTTGAGTCAAGGTTCAGAAAAATTCTTGGGCAAACGGTTGTCTTCCCACCCAGCTTACTCTCTCAAGCATGGAGCAACATGGTATCGTATTTATCTTAGGCTTGCCGGCAACGCTGGAATGATGCTTCAATTTCAAGGACCCATATCCCAAGCCACACAACCCGAGGTTGTCCCAAATAAACCCTCAGCTCAGATCATTGCAGTTCTGTATTTGTGCGCCACCTGAATTGACATGAAATTTTGGAAGACTTGTCGGCTTGCATCTTCCAAATTACGTTTTGTAGCCCTTGGGTGGATCCTGACCGTAGCTTGTTGTCACGGTACCACTGTCTGATGTGCTTTGTGCGTAGACAAAGCAGAAATGAGTAGAACACAAGGTTGTGTACCATTTCAGTACTGCACAGAAGCCAGCATTGCCGGGAGCCCACATTGAAACCGACGGCCCGTTGCAGTTTTCAGAGCCATTTCAGTACAGTGCTCGCCTAATGAGATGCACTAAAGGGCCTTCAAACAATAGCCACTGCATTGAAGAAAGAGCGTCTTGCATTTGTTCCCACGCACTCAGCCTCCAAAATTTGCTCTGCCTTCGGCTATGTCCTGCTAGTGGTAAGGACAGCAAGACTTGCTGCGCACTGACCCCTGAGAGCCGATGGAAGACGACTCTCTCTGAGAATCTGATGCAATGAGCTTTGTCAGAGTTTTGAGCTTGGTACGGTTGGCTGATTCACCAGTTCTACACGGCGATATTGAGGTCGAGCGAACCAGGACATCCGCTTCGGTCGAAACTCGTAGTATGCACTCACAACAACCTCGTCTCCTGTTGGGTCGATAGCTGTGACGACAATCAACCACTTCCTTGCTGGCTCACCGTTGAGTTTGACTTCGCCTGTGTCGGAGGAGTAGTGGCTGCGACCATGCCCGCCATCCGGGCATTCGGGCAGGAAGGTTGTGACCTCCAAAACCTTTTCACGTAGGTGCTCGGACAGGTCAAGACATGGGAGAATGGCCGCAGCCTTGCGGCCTGTGATGTTGTCCGGATTCGCTTCCATGAAGTCTCTCAGCGATGGCTTGCCCATGTCATCAGGATTCAGGCCTTTCTCCATGGCCCGGCGGCAGAAACTCAAAAGCACCCTCTGGGCCCAAAGCTGTAGGTCACGTGGAACGCAGCCCTGCGATGCCTCGGCCAGCTTCTTCCGCTCGTCTTCCTGAAGAGGCAACGAACGGGGTCATGATATGTCAGGATAGTTACGTTCGGATCCTGGAGGTTAGAAGATTAGCAAGCCGAGCTGCAGCCAAGCACTGCGCATTGCGGTCCCAGAAGTTGCGGCACTGTGCAGAGTTGAAGCCATAGCCCTGGCGGCTGGGGCTGTAGGTCGGACCACCACCAAAATCGACTTGCATCAGGACGCGGTGAAGCAAGTCTGGTGGAAACTGGTCGATACCCTTGTTAGTCGCACCGATGATGTACAGGATTGCGTTGTCTTCGATCTTAGTGGCACCATCGACTGCCATCCTGATTTCTGCCATGACACCTTCATCCTTGGCGTAGACGTCAATCTCGTCCAGCAAGATCACCGCCGACTTGCACCTGGATGCATACGCAAGTGCCCGGTGCATCATGGACAAACCGTCGGATCCGACGAAGGTGGCATTCTTCGAGTTCATTAAGATGCACGGGATGCCCAAGAAGTCAGCCAATGCTCTCGCATGTGCCGTCTTGCCTGTGCCCATGGGCCCGGTAAAGAGCATGAGCGCCACCCTCTGCCTAGACTCCATGCGCATGATGGACTCTGCCTTGCGCCAATGATGCCACATCATCGACGATACCACCTCGAGACGAAGCTGCTGGTCTGGCATTCCCACAAGATGTTCAAACGCCTTCTCGTTGATCTTGCCGGGTTGGGAAGGCTCCACCACATCGAATGGCAGTTTTGGCTCTGGCGTGGCCAGCGTGTCGCGAATCTGATGCAACTCATGGACCAATGTGTTGCGAAGATGCTTCAGCTCGTCGACTATCCCGCTGACAGGCGGCTGATTCACAACTACTGGTGGGGGGTTTACCTGCAAAGGCTTTGGCTCCCGAGGGAGATTCACAGCGGGCGCCTGGATCTGTTTCGAGGTCCATCCAAAGCCACGGGCAACGAAGCCGCCCAACGCCTTGATCCCCTTCCAGAGTCCGCCCCAGAAACCCATGGGAAATACGAAGGATGAGGTCTACTTGAGAAGGAGGCCACACGCTTCGAGTTTGAGTCAAGCTCTAGAAACACATGTCCACCAGACATCAGCAAAGCAGCGGAGCTGATGTTTCAGAACCCAGGCTACAGAGATCCAACAGCATGTCGCTACTTGATTTTCGAAACTTGCAAGCATCGCGTGGCCATAATGGGCCGCACTATACCTACTGTATAACTACAGTAAATCCTAGAATCATACTACATGCCAGCAAAAAACTGCTACCAGTACTATAAATGTCATTGCGATACTCTGAGCCTCGATGTCGTCGTCCGGCCGGCCGCGCTGTTGCGCACGCGCGCGGAGCACGTCGTCTGGGGCTTCGAGGACGAGGCAGAGAGAAGGCCTGATGACTTCGAAGGCTTCGCAAGCATCCTTGAATTAGGGTTTAGGGTTTAGGGTTTAGGGGTTTAAGATTTGGGGAAGCTCGTTTAATGGCCATGTCTGGTGAAGAATTTCGGTGGGGTGTTGCATTGCACCCGGATGTCCCATGACCACCACGGACTCTGGCAGGCCCGAACACCATACGCTTCTGCAAGATGCTGCAAAGTGCAGACTCTGAGGGTTTAGGGTTTAGGGTTTAAGGTTAGGGTTTAGGGTTTAGGGTTTAGGTTGTAGGGTTTAGGGTTTAGGGTTCAGGGTTTAGGGTTTAGGGTTTAGGGTGGAGGAAACCCCCCAACCCTAAATCCTGACACCCTGCAACCCCCTAAAATCGCCAGACATCCAGCTTGCTCTCCAGGATGCTTTGGCACGGCATCGAGGCTGTCCCAGAAGTGGTACCCGTCGTCCTTACCTGATTGTGGCAAAGAAGGGCCTCCAAAAAAACTTTCAGGGGCTCTAAAAAAAATTTTAGGGCCCTGAACAGTGGTACTTAGGGAATAAGAGATGGTAGTGGGAGGGTGGGGGCTGGGGGGTTGATTTCGGGATTTTTGGGCTTGGGGCAGTTGAGGGTACCATCTTACAGAAGTTGGCATCCTCAGCCAAACCCTGCCATGAAGCGATCATCACACCATGACTCCTGCATTGAAGCCTGGGAAAAGACTCTGCGGAGCCGCTGAACCCTAAACCCTAAACCTTGATTAGCCCTGAGCCGTAAACTCTAAAAACCCTGACCCTAAACCCTATAAACCCTGCACACCCGATAAACCCTGCGGAGCCGCTGAACCCTAAACCCTAAACCTTGATTAGCCCTGAGCCGTGAACTCTAAAAACCCTGACCCTAAACCCTAAACCCTATAAACCCTAAACCCCATAAACTCTAAACCCTGTTTCCTTAACCTTAAACCCTAAAAACACTTCAGGGATACTTCTTCAATTCTTAAAAATTCTGGCCTAATTAAACCCTAATCCCTAAACCCTAACGGCGGTCCGGGGTGCGAGGGAAGCCGTTGACGAACACGAGGTGGGAGCCCTGGCCCGCCTCAACTTTCTGTTGACCGACCTGAAGGTAGGGTTTAGGGTTTAGGGTTTCGAGTTTAGGGTTTAGGATTTAGCGCTTAGGGTTTAAGGGTTTAAGGGTTTAGGGTGTAGGGTGTAGGGTTTAGGGTTTAGGGTTTAGGGTTTAGGGGTTTTTAGAGTCTATAGAGTTTTCTGGGTTTCTGGGGTTGAGGTTTTTTCAGGGTTTAGGTTTGCAGGTTTTCGGAACCTCCAATTGTAGCTTCTCTGATGGCTGATGGCACCCCCTTGAGGGCCCTAGCCTCCATCTCGGCTAGAAGGGCATTCAGCAGCATCGCCTGCGTCAAGCGTCGAGATATGGGGCAGAGGAGGGGAGGGGGGCGGTCCATACTGGGGTTCCCTGTGAGACTATAGGAAAAGTATAGGGATCTCACCCTAAACCCTAACCTCCGTAAACCTGAAAAACTACACCATAAGAAGGGGCCCTGACTAACAAACATCCCGGCCGGTACACGCAGGAGCTTCGCACAAAGCTAAGGTTGACTCAGAACAAAACATAGCCCGAAGCCCTGCAGCCATCTAAACCCTAAACCCGAAACCCTAAACCCTAAGCCCTAAACCCTAAACCCTAAACCCTTTCCCCTAAACCGAAACCGTAACCCCTAAACAATAAACCTTTTTGACCTTAGAAAACCCCTCAACCCTGCGCCTGGACCGACTTGGCGCCCCCTTCCTCGCTACGCAGAATGCGCCCCAGGTCGACGTGGGTGCCGTGGAACCTCCGTGCTAAAAGGGCTTGCTGGGTTTGGGGTTTAGGGTTTAGGGTTAGGGTTCGGGGTTTAGGGTTTGGTATTTAGGGTTTGGAGCTTAGGGTTTTTTGGGGGGGGGGGGGGGGGGGGGGGGGGGGTTGGGACAGGGTTTTCGGGTTTAGGGCGACAACCCAAGTGAGTCATGAGATCGAAGGCCATGACTGCGCTTGTGTGGTTCATGGATTGTGGGCCGGGTACTCCCTGCTTGCCAGGATGGGCAAACATGCCCCTAAACCGTAAACCCTAAACCCTAAACCCTAAACCCAAAAGAAGCGTTGAACAAAGGCCCTTTTACAGGGTTGAGTATTGGGATTATCAGACCGAATAGCCCATCCTGTACCTGTAAGCCTGTAAGGGGCCACGTTGAAACCAAACAGTAACTGCAGAGCTGGCCAATTTTTATTATGTGCTTGAAAAAGGGAATTGGGTGCTAGTATGTTCTTTAATTAAGGGAATTAGCTGCAACTGAGAACCACCTCCTTGTTCCCGAATTGCCGAGAACAATTTGGCTTAGGGCTTCGCGGGCTTTACTGGGCTTAGGGAATTCTCGGTAGCAGTTCAAAATCGGCCAAGGGAGCTGCCTGAGGGTTGAGGGTTCGGGGTCCATATGGGGCTGAGGGTTCGGAGTTTGGGGCTGCGACACAATGCCTTCTGTTGCACACTCATGCCAGCCATCGTCAATGTTCTGCCACGCCAGCCCAACATGCAATCAAATCAGGAAAGGGTGGTCGCGTAGCTTCTACAGATTTACACGGGTTCACCTGGGATCCTATAAGACCCTAAGCCCCAAACCACAAATCCCAAAAACGACATTCTAAACCCGAAACCCCAAACCTCAAAAATGCGGAAACACTTCCAGTGCATCTCCAGCCCTTCCTTTCTAAGCACTGGCCTGAGTGCCAGCGCATCTCCAAGAGTGGACCTTAGGCAGGTTTCTGGTTTGGGGCTTTGGGATCCTTTTTGTGTTGTTAATTATTTCCTTTTAAGCTTTTTTGGGGTGAGGGGGGAGGTGGGGTGGTTAGTATTTGCGGGTATTCGGGTTATGGGGCTTTAGCTTTTCAGGGCCTAAGGTTGCTTACGTGCTCTTGGAAGGGGATTCAGGGTTTGGGGATGTGCAGGTCCTGTTCTTAATCGGGACTTAAGTACATAGGGCTTGGGGGCTTGGGTACTTAAGGATGTAGGTACCCTGTATGACCCTGTAGCGGCTTTATGTAAGAGGATATAAGAGGTACCAAGTTCCGAACTAAGAGACCAGGATATGGAGGTTTAGGGCTTCAAAGGCGTTCAGGGCCTGGAAACCACAAGCTCTAAGTAGAACAGTAGAGTCTTAGCCTATGTAGGGCGTCCATGAGCAAGCAAGCTTGGTAGGGTTCAGGGTTCAGGGTTCAGGGTTTAGTTTAGGGTTTAGGGTTTTGGGTTGAGGGTTTATCATGGTTTAGGGGAGGCTTTGGGTCTGCTTGGTAGACTTGGGGGTTTCATGGCCTTACTCGGTTGACTTGGGTGAATTGTCGGGCTTCGATTGTGGTGTGACCCCTATACAAAGTCTAGGATATCCCAAAAATGACCCTTAAGTGAGACTAGAAGGCTCTGTCGCCCCGTAACCATCTTATAGTAAGGGCACCGTTTTTGGTTGGTTGCTTGATAAGGGAACCCAGAACCAAACAATGCAAAGGGTACCACTGGGCGACCAAGGGAAGGGCTAGCTAAGGGTCTAGGAGACCAAATTCACCCCTAATTTAGAACAGACACCCTCCCCCTCCCCCCTCCCCCGTCCCCCCTTGGATTTAGCAGGGTTTCGGGTTTAGGGGTTTAGAGAACAGAAGGGCAGGGTGTCGCTTGTTTTGGGTTGGCTGCTTTACAAGGGAACCCAGAACCAAAAAAGGGGGGTAAAGGGTACCCCTAAACCCTATAAACCCTAAACCCTAAAAACCCCAAAACCCTAAACCCCAAACCCTACAAACCCTAAACCCTACAACCCTTAAGGGTTTTTGGGGAAAATTCTGGGAGCCTCTGTAGGGCGCTGTAGGGCGGTAGTAAGGGCGCCTGAATTCGGCCGCCACGTGGCTTGCCACTTCCGGGGGGGCCCATCAGCAACACCACCTTGCAAGCCTGACCACGGCATGGGCCCCTAAACCCTAAACCCTAAACCCTAAACCCTAAACCCTAAACCCTAAACCCTAAACCCTAAACCCTAAACCTTAAGAGCCCCGAAGTCTGCTTGTTTGTAGATAACCTACGAAGCCTGTAAGAGGTATATTCTTAGTAACCTTCAAAACAGGTAGGTTTTGGGTTGTTAGGTAAACCCTTAAACCCCAAATAGCTACAGAGCTTGAGGTACTAAAACCCGATGGAGGCTTAGGCCCCATCCCCTGCATTGCGTGTGGTGCTTCCTTCTTGTAGCATCCCAACACTACTTGTTTTCAGAAAGGTGCCAGGGGGGGGGGCACAAAAGCAAAGAAATTTGGGTTCGGGAGAGCGTTCAGCGTCATACAGAAGGGCTCTTCTAGCTCCTGGAGATGCTTGAGCAGGGGCGGGAATTCTTTAAAGCCTTAAACCTTTCGGGGTATAATTAATCACCCTAAACCCTAAACCCTAAACCCGTGGTGGCATCCTCAAATTTTCCTGGGGCTTAAGGGCAAGAGTTCAAAGACGCTGCGCTCCTCATGCCTTTAAACCAGATTGGGTTTAGGATGAGAAATTTTAGGGGTTCCGGACTCAGGGATGTGGAGGTGTAGTGGTTTAGGGGTTTAGGATTTA